TATCTTTGGTCTCTTTGTTGCCTCTCTGATTAATGCTCTCCTTGCCTGGTCTGTGAGTTTTGGTGGGCGGCCATCTCTTTCCATTTTTTAATAATGGATTTAATGGTGCTCTGTGGGATGTTCAAAGTTTCTGATATTTTTTTATAACCCAACCCTGATCTGTACTTCTCCACAACTTTGTCCCTGACCTGTTCGGAGAGCTCCTTGGTCTTCATGGTGCAGCTTGCTTGGTGGTGCCCCTTGCTTAGTGGTGTTGCAAAATCTGGGGCCTTTCAGAACAGGTGTGTATATACTGAGATCATGTGACAGGCTTCATAGCAAAGGGGGTGAATACATATGCACCACTTTTCCGTTATTAATTTTTTGAATTTTTTGAAACAAATATTTTTTCCATTTCACTTCACCAATTTGGACTATTTTGTGTATGTCCATTAAATGAAATCCAAATAAAAATCAATTTAAATTACAGGTTGTAATGCAACAAAATAGGAAAAATGCCAAGGGGGATGAATACTTTTGCAAGGCACTGTACATATCTCCCTTGCATATTACATCATTTATGCAGCAGCATACAATACATTTTCACCTTGTGCTGTGCTCACTCTAACAGGAACGCTTGCAGTTAGCCACTGATTCCTTCCAAACCACTCATTGTTGAATTTGTGATTTCCAACTTGTTGTGTAATGTTTATATCCAATGGCCAATGAGCACCGATATGTTTTATCTATAATTTCTCTTAATCATTTCTCTTCATATGACAATGATTGAAAAGGATTTGCCAGTAGATTGTCGACTTGATTCATAATGATGACTGGTAGCTTGCTAGCTAAGATTTTGAAAGATGTTGACATGATCAGTCCAATCAAAACTATGGTAGATATAACTTGATTTGATGTCGTAGAATTTTGGTTTATTTGAAAAAAATAATTGTAGGTACTTTTTACCCCTTTTTCATGATATCCAACTGGTAGTTACAGTCTTGTCCCATCACTGCAACTCCCGTACAGACTCGGGAGAGGTGAAGGTCAAGAGCCATGCCTCCGAAACACGACCCCTCCAAGCCGCACTACTTCTTCACACACTGCTCGCTTAACCCAGAAGCCAGACGCACCAATGTGTCGGAGAAACACCGTACAGCTGGCGTGCGCCCGGCCGCCACAAGGTGTCGCTAGATCATGATGGGACAAGGACATCCCAGCCGGCCAAACCCTCCCCTAACCCGTACGACGCTGGGCCAATTGTGCGCCGCCTCATGGGTCTCCCAGTCGCAGCTGGCTGCAACACAGCCCGGGATCGAACCCGGATCTGTAGTGATGCCTCTAGCACTGCGATGCAGTGCCTTAGACCACTGTGCCACTCGGGAGGCAATTTGATGTCATTTTATCTGTGGCCAATGACTTTGAGATTTTGCGGTGACGTAGTGTCCCCATGAGTGACAGAACACTGAGCCAATCACGGCGCAACTAGAGATCATTACCAACCCCTACACTCTGGCTGGCTGACCCATCACCACAGAAAGCACTGAGCTAGGCTGAAACACCTGCATTTTGGAGCTGCCTTACTCAAGAAAGCAAAAAAAAGACCATGTTTATATGCAGCTTTATTAACTAAATTATATATTTTTTGTCCATTATTTGCAAACTGATATGTGACACTTATTAATGCCAAAATAACATACAAAACAGGTGGGGCTTTTTTGCTAAACAGCTAGGGCTCAAAACAGTTGGGGCTCTGCCCCACCTGCCCTGAATGACTGGTCAACACTGACCAACATACAGTACCTCTTAATGTACCTTTCTAGAAACACAATGTAATACACAGTTATATCCAGTAGATGGAGCCATTACACAGAGAGTTAAGACTGAAAAAGGTGCTTTGGGTCACTAACTTTTCAATATGTTTACAAAATATTCGCTTTCAGGAAATACTTACATCACTACTAATCATTATGTTTACCCTGGGGGATGATATTGTGCAACGCACCCTAACCAAACATGCTTAAATCTATAGAAAATACGTGCTACTTCCAGTAAGACATCCATTACTCCTGAAGAATTTCCCCTTGTCCCTTGCAGCCTTCAGATTATAATGGGTTCACACATGCAATTTTCCCATTCACAGTCACGGAACCATAGTTATACGATTTGCTCGTTACGTACTTCACAGTTTTTCAGTGGTCTTCCCTGTCAAGTTGCACACAGTAACCAATACAGTCCTGTGTACTTTGACAAAGCAACCAATCCAGTACTGTATGTCTGTGACCATCTTTCGCTCTCTTTTCTATAACATGTGGTCTCTACTAAACCTACAGTAAAAACAGATGTCTCAGGATATAACGCATTTTTCTCTATGATACAAACATTTGTTGTGAAATGGCAAAATGTCACTGCAGACATAATCTCTTGTGGACAGAATACGTAAATATAAATGGTACAAATGACGCAAGATTTTAGTTCTGATTTCAAACAATTATGTGGTTGATGTTTATACTTTACTGGGTAATACCTGAGAGAGAGAGAGAGAGAGAGAGAGAGAGAGAGATCCTTGTGGACAGGCTCTAGGTTTCCCTCTATTTAAATTGCAATCATCACCCTAGTTGTCGTCTGTGGGGCTTCTGTTTCTCTCTCTCTCTTGGCTGTGAACCATCTACTACACTGCAACCATCACTTACTGGAACAGCCACAGTGACAGACAGGATTAGCTACAGACCAGCCACCTGCCTCACACAGCTAGAGTACAAAACCAAACCAGCATACTTGAAAGAAGACATCTCCCAACCAAACTTTGAACAGACTTCTGAACTATAGTGAGGTCAAAGGACTGGGAGTGAAGAAGATGATTTCTACTATTATATTAATGGTGTTTCTCTATGGGCTCTCTCTGGCCCAAGGGGAAGGAATGGAGAGGATCCAAGAATGTAAAACCAGATGCTCCAAGGTAGGAAATCACTCTTCCTGTGTCTTTCTGAGGAAACACTTTTTCAGTTTCAAACAATTCTCAAGTGTCTATGAGCAGCATAGCTGCTATCACTTTGAATACTACTGCTAATATTATTACTATTGCTTCTAAAACTAGACTATTGTGATGACTATAGCTTAACTACAAACAGAGCATACTCTACTGATACCAATAGTCAGAAGTGAGAGTAGTGTTTGTCATATCATGACCAATATGTTGTAGTATTGGTCTATCATATTTACTCTCTTGCATATAATAGAACGTTGATATCATATTCCCCATATATTCTGAGGAACCATGGCAACAAAACAAAGTAAAGTATGATAATGACTCTGTGGAGTTGTTACACCATCAGAGTTTATCATTAACTGTGTAAATATAAAAAAATGAACCTATATCACCCACTGGAAAGATTCTCAACTGGTGGTTGGAGACCCAAATTGGGTCGCGGGAGGCTTTGAAAGGGTCGCAGGTGTTTTTCTATTTTTATGAAATAAATACTCCAGTCTGAACATTAATGACTAATCCCAGAATCTGATATAAAGTGTGTAAAATGATAATAAAATAATTTAACTTTGAAAAATCACATGCAGTATTTTCAAAAAAGAGCTACAGATGTAGGATCTTAATTTGATCCATCTTTTGTTGCTGAGAACTTTCAGTGAAATGCAAACTTGTAGTGTATTCAAGGTTTAAAAAGGCTTCTAAAGTTTGTAATTTCCACTTTAAAATTTCAGACTTGATTTGCCCCAAACAAAAAATTTATCAATCCCTACAAAAAATGACAATGAATTATAATCTATATAATAGTTTTCATTTCCTGTTGCTGCAGGACTATTATCCTGCTGTAGCAAACTGACTCAAATTAAGATCCTACATCTGTATTAGCACCGCTAGCAGATTTGGTTGATTTTGTGGCCTCAAACTAGTGAGCTTCCCAACATTCATCATCAAGAATATGAGCTATAAAATCAATAGTTATTTCTGGTTGCTTGTCAAAGTTATCTGGCTAACTCATTGATCCTGCTTTGTAGTATACTCCTCTGTTAGCCTTGATACTTTCTGTCTATGTTTGCATCAGAGGAGGCTAATGGGAGGAGCTATAGTATGACAGGATTATAGTAATGGCTGGAATGGAATAAATGGAACAATATCAAACACATCAAACATATGGAAACCACATTTGACTCCGTTCTATGTATTCCATTCCAGCCATTAAAATGAGCCCATCATCCTAAAGCCCCTTCCACCAGCCTCCTCTGGACACCTTAAGATATCAACAAAGATAAACAAAGATTATTTGATGAAACATTGAATTTGGCCAGATACCTTCAGACTACTCTTGTAAGCGAAACGACCGACATGTACGTGTTCGTGAGAGACTCACCTTTCCATAGAGGGGTCATATTAGTGTGTAGCCCAAACTGTTCGGACGCTACAGACAGAAGTATGCAGATCGGTTGTACCGACTCCAGACGAGTCCTGTGATGCTTGTGGGGGTTGTAGACCAAAACGGAGAACGCCATCATGTTCGTGAGAGTCTCATCTTTCCATAGAGGTATCTTTCCGTTCGGATGCTACAGACGTTTTTGTGAGAAGACCGATTTTCGGGATGTCTCATGGTCTGACAAACACCACTTTAGCTCTGCCAACATTCACTGCAGATGCTGAAGGGCAACATCGGTGGCAACGTGGTCTCAGAGCATTTCGTATTATTATGTACGTAAATCTGTGAGTCTTCATTTAGTAATTTTCCATTTCACATGGTATGTATTAATTTGCAAGTGTCCATCACTCATTTTCATATTATATGTTACGAATTACAATTCGCATTATATGTTATGAATGTCCGAAACTTACAATACATTACTAATTCGCAAAAGTCCTATATGTTACTAATTTGCAAAATGTAGCTAGGTGGCTAGGTGGCTAACGTTAGCTAGTTGGTTAACATTAGCTAGGCTAGGGGTGAGGGTTAGTGGTTAGAGATAGGGTTAAGTTTAGGAGTTAGGTTAAAGGGTTAAGGGAAGGATTAGCTAACATGCTAAGTAGTTGCAATGTAGCTAAAAAGTAGTAAGTAGTTGCAAAGTTGCCAATCACCTAAAATGCTAAAGGTATCTGTGATGAGATTTGAACTCGCAACCTTTGCGTTGCTAGACGTTTTACGTTATACGCACACCCATCCATTCATCCTACTTTCGTTTTTGCCTTAAGTAACCATCTGTCTTATGTAACCATACCAAACGGAACATTTCATACTAATTTGTGTGTCCCGGATTTCCATTTACTATGTTACGTCTAGTTTACGAGACCAGGCTATCGGCAGATGCTTTGGATTGAGACGCAGCCCATGCAAAAAAAACATATCTCTAGCTTAAACTGACCGATTTAGATGGGGATTTCTTTATTACGCTAATTAGATTTCCACGGGGCGCGGACATCGGCTCTAGGGGGTTAATCCCTGTGGATGCATTTCCTCAAGCCTAGTACCTCTGTCAGTACAGAGGCTGTCACTCTCTCTGTGACATCCATCACGAAGAGACTGGTAAGATAAATAGTTTTAATATCGAACATAGTTTTAAAAGGGCACATGCTTTCACTGAAAGAAAGATAAGCAAGGATGCATTTACCGCACCGTAGAAAATAAAAAGGAGACACACGGTACATAAGCCAGGAAAACAAGCACAGGTGTGTGTGTTGTCTTCACATGGTAGAAACACAGGACAACCCTTGCTATCTCCGTTACCTCTGCTACTACAATCCCAGCTAACAACAAACATTCCCACAACTTTAGAGAACGTTCCCTTATGAGTCTCATTAGGTCATTATCTACCGTTTTCATAGGAATGTTCCTGTGATGTGCAAGGAATGTTTCCAAGAGAACATTCCCTTAATGTCAAATAGAACTTACCCAGAACGTTGTTACCATGTTCTCAGAACTTAAGATATTAATGTTCTAGACATGTTAAATGAGAACATTGCAACAAAAAAAAACATTGGGTTCTTGGTCTCCTCCCCCGATTGCTCAGTTTGGCCAGGCGGCCAGCTCTAGAAAGAGTCTTGGTGGTTTCAAACTTCTTCCATTTAAGAATGATGGAGGCCACTGTGTTGTTGATGACTTTCAATGCTGCAGAAATGTTTTGGTACCCTTCCCCAGATCTGTGCCTCGACACAATCCTGTCTCGGAGCTCTACGGCCAATTCCTTTGACCTCATGGCTTGGTTTTTCGCTCTGACATGCACTGTCAACTGTGGGACCTTATATAGACAGGTGTGTGCCTTTCCAAACCACGTCCAATCAATGGAATTTACCACAGGTGGACTACAATCAATTTGTAGAAACATCTCAAGGATGATCATTGGAAACAGGATGCACCTGAGCTCAATTTCGAGTCTCATAGCAAAGGGTCTGAATACTTATGTAAATAAGGTATTTGTGTTTTTTCTAAAAACCTGTTTTCGCTTTGTCATTATGGGATATTGTGTGGAGATTGATGTGGATTATTAATTTGTTTAATCCATTGTAGAATAAGGCTGTAACATAACAAAATGTGGAAAAGGTCAAGGGGTCTGAATACTTTCCAAATGCACTGTAAATGTTTTTGCAATGTTCCCATGAAACGTGTCTAGAACATTAATATCTCAAACATTAGGGGAACATTACGGGTAATGTTACAAAAACGTACACTCTCCCTAGATTTGTTAGCTGGAATAGTGGCCAACTGGGCTTGTTTGTTTGTACAGCTGGGGTTGTGAGTACTCTGTTAAGTGTATAATGTGTATAAGTAGTATAACGTGTATATTAAGTGCATAAATAAACCTCTTACAGTGTCTTTCATCTTCTCTCTGCAGGGCCTCCAATGCAAAAGTAAACCCCACTGTGAGTGCATTACAATATACCCGTTACAAACAATGTTGTTATACTCTCTGTGTGTGTGCTTGAGTGTGTTGACAATGACACTATGGTAAATCTCTGATGGTCCTCTGATCAGATATAAATTGATGTTTGAAATACTTTACATTTACAATACAAGGATCCAGTTCCAATGTCTGTGGTATGGGTGGTCCGAGTGTTAAAACTTTTGCAGGTTTGTTTATAGAAGCATGGACCTCCCATTCAGTACAATAGAGTCATAGTCCAAGTAGACGCCTCTAGCTGGAGTAAACAGAGACAGTGTGTCCACAATAATACATAACAAAAGTCGGATTAATCAGCGTCTAATTTAATCAGCACCTCACCACAACTGTATCTTCCACAAGTGAAAGAAAGAGCATGACAGCTCAGGCAGGGAGGGAGAAAGAAAGATGGATGGATAGATCTATTATTATCTGATAAAGTAGTAGTCAGGGCCTTGACATGACTGAGTGAAGTATGAGTAAAGTTGCCTCCTTCCTTGTCATTACATTGCTGGCTATTGGATTTGCTGGTTGTTGTATATTTGTATTCATTTGTCCTGAAAGTCTTGCTATTTTTTATGTGAGAGTAAGATTTCAAATGTATTTATTACCAAAAAAAGCTTGAACTTGAATACATCCACTGACTTTAATCTCCTGTTTCCCCATACAGATTCCTTTGTCCCGTGCAGGACCCAGCAAGCAGGCCTCAACACGCGTGTTGTCTTCAACAACATCAGCCTGTCCACAGTGATGAGGTGTGAGGGGAAACAGAAGTGCTCTCTTCACCTTCGAGTTCACACTGCTCTTCAGCTCAGTGGTAGGTTGGGCTCTCTACTTTGAGATTTCATGTTGAAATATTTTCTGCCTTGTGAACAACAATGACCTACGGAAGTCCAGAGAGGACATCACCCCAAAATAATTGGTCCTTCTTTATGTCGAGATCACAACTTATTTATCTCATGATCACCACATAACAAAAGTTGTTTTGTCGAGATCATGAGATAATCAAAAGTACCACGCATCATCCATTAATTTGTTCAGCTGCACAATAACCACTTCAAGGAGCCCTGTGGCTGCATTGATCGCAATGCGGGGCATTTAAGCCCTGAACAATGCCTGAGCCTGTCACGCCCTGACTCTGGGGACTCGTATTTGTTGAGTCAGGGTGTGTATTTTCTGTGTGGTATGTTCTATGTTGTATTTTCTAGGTTTAGATCTAGATCGTCTAGATCAGGGGTGTCAAACTCATTTTAGCTCAGGGGCCACATGGAGGAAAATCTATTCCCAAGTGGGCCGGACCGGAAAAATCATGGTATATATATATAACTTAAAAACAACAACTTCAGATTGTTTTCTTTGTTTTAATACGATCAACATACAACATAAAGCTGGAGCCTGAGGACAGTGTGTCCAAAATAGTACAAGCACAACATCACTATTAATCATAAAACACGTCAAGTTTATTTGAAAATTCTAAAGAAAAAGAACACACAAACACACAATGCCTCAGTGATTAACAGAACTGTTTCACAGATCACAGAACTATATCAGGGTGTCATTTCTCAGGCAGAAATGTAGATAAAAATAATGAAATCCTGTTCCCCAAACAAGTGCAAGAACCACAGAGTCAAGAATAGGTTAAATATACAAATAAAATAAAATAAATTAAAAACAATAGCACATCAACATAAAAACATATAAACATAAAGCTGGAGCCTGAGGACAGTGTCCAAAAGCACAACATCACTATTAATCATAAAACACCTCAAGTTATTTGAAAGTTCTGAGGACAAAGAACATACAAACACACAATGCCTCAGTGATTAACATAACTGTTTCACAGATCACAGAACTATATCACGGTGTCATTTCTCAGGCAGAAATGTAGATAAAAATAATGAAATCCTGTTCCCCAAACAAGTGCAAGAACCACAGAGTCAAGAATAGGTTAAATATACAAATAAAATAAAAACAATTAAAAACAATAGCACATCAACATAAAAACATAAACATAAAGCTGGAGCCTGAGGACAGTGTCCAAAAGCACAACATCACTATTAATCATAAAACACGTCAAGTTATTTGAAAGTTCTGAGGACAAAGAACACACAAACACACAATGCCTCAGTGATTCACAGAAGTATATCACAGATCACAGAACTATATCAGGGTGTCATTTCTCAGGCAGAAATGTAGATAAAAATAATGAAATCCTGTTCCCCAAACAAGTGCTAGAACCACAGAGTCAAGAATAGGTTAAATATACAAATAAAATAAAATCAATTAAAAACAATAGCACATCAACATAAAAACATATAAACATAAATCTGAAAGCGTTGCTCAAACTCCCGTAACAGTCCCGTTATTTTATCTTTGAACCGCTTCATGTCTGCCACATGTTGGGTCGCGCACACATTCTTCAGACAGGGGAAGTGAGCTGCATCACCACCGGCAAGTTGCGTCTCCCACAATGACAGCTTCAACTTGAAAGAACGTATGCTGTCATAATACTGCGTGACAACTTTGTTGCGCCCTTGCAGCTGTTTGTTCAAGTTATTCAGGTGCTCTGTAACATCCACCATAAATGCAAGGTCCTGCATCCATTCTGCGGAATGAAATTCTAACACTGGTTTGCCCTTTTCTTCCATGAACTGTTCAATTTCTTCTCGTAAATCAAAGAAACGCCTCAGCACCTTGGCTTAACCATCTTACCTCAGTGTGGTATGGCAGGCCAAAGATGTGGTCTTTCTCTCTGAGAAGGCTGTCAAACTGACGGTGATTCAGGCTTCTGGATCGGATGAAATTAACAGTTTGGATGACCACCTTCATGACGTTATCCATCTTTAATGACTTGCAACACAAAGCCTCCTGGTGCAAAATACAGTGAAAAGTCAAAAAATCACGTCCTCCATTTGCAGATTGCACTTTCTCTCTGAACTTTGTCACAACGCCTGCTTTTTTCCCGATCATTGAGGGCGCACCATCTGTAGCCAGGCTGACAGCGCGGGACCAGTCCACTCCGACCCTGTCCAGCGCGCCGACGAGTGCGGTAAAAATATCAGCTGCTGTCATTGTATCTGTCATCGGCACCAACTCCACGAACTCCTCGGTGACGGTCAATGTGTCATCAACTCCGCGGATGAAAATGGCCAGTTGTGCAACATCTGTAATGTCCGTGCTTTCATCAATTGCAACCGAAAACGCCATAAATGACTTTACTTTTTGCTTCAACTGGCTGTCCAAATCCACTGAAAGATCGGAAATCCTGTCTGCAACTGTGTTTCTTGTCAGGCTGATATTTGCAAAAGCCTGCCGCTTTTCAGGGCACACAATCTCCGCTGCCTTCATCATGCATGTTTTTACAAATTCACCCTCTCTAAATGGTTTTGAAGCCACTGCGATTTCATTAGCAATGAGGTAGCTAGCTTTCACTGCAGCGTCACTGATGTCTCGGCTGTGAGTAAACACAGACTGCTGTTTCTTCAGACCCGCCAACAGTTCATTCACCTTCTCTCATCTCCGCTGTCCTTGAAAGTTGTCATATTTGTCGGCATGAAGACTCACATAGTGGCGACGAAGGTTATATTCTTTCAGCACTGTAACATGCTCTGAACACACCAAACATACAGCTTTCCCATTCAATTCCGTGAATAAATAGGATGACAATTTTTCTTGGAACACTCTGCACTCTGCGTCCACTTTTCTCTTTTTTGACAGAGACATATTGGGGCAATGAGGGTGCCAAAGCACATAATGTTAAAAGTAGAAGCCGTAATAAATATCGCGGGCAAAACAAAGTAGCTCATTGGCTGCACGTGCTTGACCTACTTGCTCTGCCCCGGTATAAACAGTTTGCTTGCTTAACACAATTGCTATTGCGCCATTCCAGTGGACGCAATTGGAACAGCAGTTTATTTTATTGAAAAATTATTTTTAAAAAATTGTATTTTTTATTTTTTTTTAATCATCTCGCGGGCCGGATTAAACCCGTTTGCGGGCCTGATCCGGCCCGCGGGCCAGACGTTTGACACCCCTGGTCTAGATCTATGTTGGCCGGTGTGGTAGCCTATTGGCACTAGTGGGTTGTGGGATCTTGTTCCGTGTAGGTATGTTTTGTGTTCTACCTTGGACTTCACGTTTCGTTTGTTTATTGTTTTGTCGGTTGTTTATTCATTATAATAATCATGTACGCATATCACGCTGCGCCTTTGTCCGTCCCGTTCATCAACGATCGTGACAGAAGATCCCACCAAACGAAGACCAAGCAGCGTGCCCAGGAAGAGCGAATAGCGATGTCACAGGTGGGCAAATGGTGGTCATGGGAGGAGATATTTGCGGGGAAAGGGCCATGGGCGAAGGTAGATGCCCAGGCAGGAGAGGTGAAACGGCGCCAACCGTGCCGACGACGGAGACCCGAGAGGCAACCCCAATAAAAAAAATTGGGGGGCACACAGGGTGGATGGGGGGGCTAAAAGGGAGAAGGAAAGTGTAGAGGCACGGTGAGAGGAGCTGGTTAGGCAACAGAAGGAGCAGGGGTTAATAAAGGAACCCAGTCCCGCTCCCCGCACTAAGCCAGTGGTGCGCGTCGCCAGCCCGGTCCGGCCTGTTCCTGCCCCTCGCACCAAGCCAGTGGTGCGCGTCGCCAGCCCGGCCCGGCCTGTTCCTGTCCCTCGCACCAAGCCAGTGGTGCGCGTCGCCGGCCCGGCCTGTTCCTGCCCCTCGCACCAAGCCAGTGGTGCGCGTCGCCAGCCCGGCCCGGCCTGTTCCTGCCCCTCGCACCAAGCCAGTGGTGCGCGTCGCCAGCCCGGCCCGGCCTGTTCCTGCCCCTCGCACCAAGCCAGTGGTGCGCGTCGCCAGCCCGGCCCGGCCTGTTCCTGCCCCTCGCACCAAGCCAGTGGTGCGCGTCGCCAGCCCGGCCCGGCCTGTTCCTGCCCCTCGCACCAAGCCAGTGGTGCGCGTCGCCAGCCCGGCCCGGCCTGTTCCTGCCCCTCGCACCAAGGCAGTGGTGCGCGTCGCCAGCCCGGCCCGGCCTGTTCCTGCCCCTCGCACCAAGCCAGTGGTGCGCGTCGCCAGCCCGGTCAGGCCTGTTCCTGCCCCTCGCACCAAGCCAGTGGTGCGCGTCGCCAGCCCGGCCCTACCTGTTCCTGCCCCTCGCACCAAGCCAGTGGTGCGCGTCGCCAGCCCGGCCCGGCCTGTTCCTGCCCCTCGCACCAAGCCAGTGGTGCGTGTGTCCAGTCCGGCACGGCCCGTGCCTGTTCCACCGGTGTCCAGTTCAGCTCCGGTCAGCTGCTCCACTCTGGAGCCAGAGCAATCTGCTTCACTGGGGTCCAGTCCAGCTCCGGTCAGCGGCTCCACTCCGGAGCCAGAGCAGTCCGCTCCACCGGTGCCTGATCCAGCTCCGGTCAGCTGCTCCTCCACTCCGGAGCCAGAGCAGTCCGCTCCACCGGGGTCTAGTCCAGATCCGGTCAGCGGCTCCACTCCGGAGCCAGAGCAGTCCGCTCCACCTGTCCACTTTGGAAGTATGCCTGGGGTCATTGTCAATTTGGAAGACCCATTTGTGACCAAGCTTTAACTTCCTGACTGATGTCTTGAGATGTTGCTTCAATATATCCAAATAATTTTCCTACCTCATGATGCCATCTATTTTGTGAAGTGCACCAGTCCCTCCTGCAGCAAAGCACCCCCACAGCATGATGCTGACACCCCCATGCTTCACGGTTGGGATGGTGTTATTCTGCTTGCAAGCTGACCCCCTTTTCCTCCAAACATAACGATGGTCATTATTGCCAAACAGTTCTATTTTTGTTTCATCAGACCAGAGGACATTTCTCCAAAAAGTATGATCTTTGTCCCCATGTGCAGTTGCAAAACCTTTTTTATGGCGGTTTTGGAGCAGTGGCTTCTTCCTTGCTGAGCGGCCTTTCAGGTTATGTCGATATACAGTGAGGGAAAAAAGTATTTGATCCCCTGCTGATTTTGTACGTTTGCCCACTGACAAAGAAATGATCAGTAATCCTTCTACCCCCCCCCCCCCCCCCCCCCCCCAAAAAAAAAATAATAATAATAATGTAAAGTGGTTATTCCACTGGCTATAGGGTGAATGCACATATTTGTAAGTCGCTCTGGATAAGAGCGTCTGATAAATGACGTAAATGTAAAAAATGTAAATGTAAATAATTTTAATGGTAGGTTTATTTGAAAGGTGAAAGACAGAATAACAACAACAAAAAATCCAGAAAAACGCATGTAAAAAATGTTATAAATTGATTTGCATTTTAAAGAGGGAAATAAGTATTTGACCCCCTCTCAATCAGAAAGATTTCTGGCTCCCAGGTGTCTTTTATACAGGTAACGAGCTGAGATTAGGAGCACACTCTTAAAGGGAGTGCTCCTAATCTCAGTTTGTTACCTGTATAAAAGACACCTGTCCACAGAAGCAATCAATCAATCAGATTCCAAACTCTCCACCATGGCCAAGACCAAAGAGCTCTCCAAGAATGTCAGGGACAAGATTGTAGACCTACACAAGGTTGGAATGGGCTACAAGACCATCGAAAAGCAGCTTGGTGAGAAGGTGACAACAGTTGGTGCGATTATTCGCAAATGGAAGAAACACAAAAGAACTGTCAATCTCCCTCGGCCTGGGGCTCCATGCAAGATCTCACCTCATGGAGTTGCAATGATCATGAGAACGGTGAGGATTCAGCCCAGAACTACACGGGAGGATCTTGTCAATGATCTCAAGGCAGCTGGGACCATAGTCACCAAGAAAACAATTGGTCACACACTACTCCGTGAAGGACTGAAATCCTGCAGCGCCCGCAAGGTCCCCCTGCTTAAGAAAGTACATATACAGGCCTGTCTGAAGTTTGCCAATGAACATCTGAATGATTCAGAGGAGAACTGGGTGAAAGTGTTGTGGTCAGATGAGACCAAAATGGAGCTCTTTGGCATCAACTCAACTCGTCATGTTTGGAGGAGGAGGAAAGAACCCCAAGAACACCATCCCCACCATCAAACATGGAGGTGGAAACATTATGCTTTGGGGGTGTTTTTCTGCTAAGGGGAAAGGACAACTTTACCGCATCAAAGGGATGATGGACGGGACCATGTACCATAAAATCTTGGGTGAGAACCTCCTTCCCTCAGCCAGGGCATTGAAAATGGGTCGTGGATGGGTATTCCAGCATGACAATGACCCAAAACACACGGCCAAGGCAACAAAGGAGTGGCTCAAGAAGAAGCACATTAAGGTCCGGAGTGGCCTAGCCAGTCTCCAGACCTTAATCCCATAGAAAATCTGTGGAGGGAGCTGAAGGTTAGAGTTGCCAAACGTCAGGCTCAAAATCGTAATGACTTGGAGAAGATCTGCAAAGAGAAGTGGAACAGGATCCCTCCTGAGATGTGTGCAAACCTGGTGGCCAACTACAAGAAACGTCTGACCTCTGTGATTACCAACAAGGGTTTTGCCCCCAAGTACTAAGTCATGGTTTGCAGAGGGGTCAAATACTTATTTCCCTCATTAAAATGCAAATAATAATAATAATAATAATAATAATAATAATAATAATAATATGCCATTTAGCAGACGCTTTTATCCAAAGCGACTTACAGTCGTGCGTGCATACATTTTTTTTTTGTGTATGGGTGGTCCCGGGGATCGAACCCACTACCTTGGCGTTACAAGCGCCGTGCTCTACCAGCTGAGCTACAGAGGACCACAAATCAATTTATAACATTTTTGACATGCGTTTTTCAGGATTTTGTTGTTGTTATTCTGTCTCTCACTGTTCAAATAAACCTACCATTACAATTATAGACTGATCATGTCTTTGTCAGTGGGCAAACGTACAAAATCAGCAGGGGATCAAATACTTTTTTCCCTCACTGTAGGACTCATTTTACTGTGGATATATATAATTTTGTACCTGTTTCCTCCAGCATCTTCACAATGTCCTTTGCTGTTGTTCTGGGATTGATTTGCACTTTTCGCACCATAGTACGTTCATCTCTAGGATACAGAACGCGTCTCCTTCCTGAGCGGTATGACGGCTGCGTGATCCCATGGTGTTTATACTTGCATACTATTGTTTGTACCGATGAACGTGGTACCTTCAGGTGTTTGGAAATTGCTCCCAAGGATGAACCAGACTTGTGGAGGTCTATACTATTTTTTCTGAGGTCTTGGCTGATTTATTTTGATTTTCCCATGATGTCAAGCAAAGAGGCACTGAGTTTGAAGGTAGGCCTTGAAATACATCCACAGGTACACCTCAAAATGACTCAAATGATGTCAATTAGCCTATCAGAAGCTTCTAAAGCCATTACATCATTTTCTGGAATTTCCAAGCTGTTTAAAGGCACAGTCAACTTAGTGTATGTAAACTTCTGACCCACTGGAATTGTGATACAGTGAATTATAAGTGAAATAATCTGTCTGTAAACAATTGTTGGAAAAATGACTTGTGTCATTGTCACGTTCGTTGAATGACGGGTCAGACCAAGGCGCAGCGTGATATGCATACATGTTTATTGAACTTAATAAACACACGACAAAACAACAAAGGAAACAAAAAAGTGAAGTCCAAGGTAGCACACACAACATACCTTAACCGGAACAAGATCCCACAACTAGACTGTGCCAATAGGCTGCTTAAGTATGGTCCCCAATCAGTGACAACGAGCGACAGCTGCCTCTAATTGGGAACCACACCGGCCAACATAGATCCACACATGCTAGAACGACAACATAGACAAAGCACAACAAGGAAATATACACACCCTGACTCAACATATAAGAGTCCCCTGAGTCAGGGCGTGACTCCAAAGGTGCGGACTCCGACCGCACAACATAAACATAACAGGGTAGGGGCCGGGTGGGCATTCCGCCTCGGAGGCGGATCCGGCTCGGGGCGTGACGACCTCTCACTCTCCGCCTCCCTGTTGCGCCCCTGGTCTGGTCAGGACCTCGGCGCGCTGCTTCCCCTCTCCTTCCTCCCACGATACGCCAGGCCCTGTCTGGACCCTGGTGTGGGAGACCCCGAACTTGGAGAGGGGCTGACGTCATGGTCTGGACTGGAGCCGCTGACCGGAGCTGGACTGGGCACCGGTGGAGCGGACTGCCTTGGCTCCGGAGTGGAGCCGCTGACCGGAGCTGGACTGGACCCCGGTGGAGCGGACTGCTCTGGCTCCGGAGTGGCACCGGTGGAACGGGCACGGGTCGTGCCGGACTGGACAAATGCACCACTGGTCTGGTGCAAGGAGCAGGCACGGGCCGGACCGGACTAGGAACGCGCATCACTGGCTTGGTGCGAGGGACAGGAACGGGCCGGGCCGGACTGGCGACGCGCACCACTGGCTTGGTGCGAGGAGCAGGAACAGGCCGGGCCGGACTGGTGACGCGCACCACTGGCTTGGTGCGAGGAGCAGGAACAGGCCGGGCCGGGCTGGCGACACGCACCACTGGTTTGGTGCTAGGAGCAGGAACAGGCCGGGCCGGGCTGGCGACGCGCACCACTGACTTGGTGCGGGGAGCAGGAACGGGCTGGCCTGGACTGGCGACACGCACCACTTGCTTGGTGCGAGGAGCAGGACTGGGTTCCTTTATTAACCCCCGCTCCTTCTGCTGCCTAACCAGCTCCTCTCGCCGTGGCTCTACTCTTTCCTTCTCCCTTGTAGCCTCCTGTAGCGCCTCCCTCTGACCAAATAACTCCTGCTCCCTCTGAACCAATAGCCCCCGTAACATGGTGGCCTCCTCTCCTAATCTGCAGATCCGCCCTTTAACAGCCTCCTGCTGCCTCGTCGTCCACACCGTGTGACCCTCCCAAAAAATGTCTTGGGGTTGCCTCTCGGGTCTCCGTCGTCGGCACTGTTGGCACCGTTTCTCCTCTCCTACCTGGGCATCCTCCTTCATCGCCCTCCGATAACGGACGGCCTCCTCCTCCGTAATTCTCCCCCAACCGAGGAGGACATCTACTAACGTAACCTCCTGTTGAGTCCCAGGCGTTTGCTCCTTCTCGGCACGCTGCATGGTCCTTGTTTGGTGGGATCTTCTGTCACGTTCGTTGAATGACGGGTCAGACCACGGCGCAGCGTGATATGCGTATATGTTTATTGAACTTAATAAACACATGACAAAACAACAAAGGAAACGAAATGTGAAGTCCAAGGTAGCACACACAACATACCTTAACCGGAACAAGATCCCACAACTAGACTGTGCCAATAGGCTGCTTAAGTATGTTCCCCAATCAGAGACAACGAGCGACAGCTGCCTCTGATTGGGAACCACACCGGCCAACATAGATCCACACATGCTAGAACGACAACATAGACAAAGCACAACAAGGAAATATACACACCCTGACTCAACATATAAGAGTCCCCTGAGTCAGGGCGTGACAGTCATGCACAAAGTAGATGTCCTAACCGACTTGCCAAAACTATAGTTTGTTAACAAGAAATTTGTGTGGTTGAAAAACAAGTTTTAATGACTCCAACCTAAGTGTATGTAAACTTCCGACTTCAACTGTATATATAACACTGGGATTTAACAAGCACAATACACAGTACTCACGAGACCAATGAACATGGGAAAATAATTGACAAGGACAATGGGGAACAGAGGGCACATATATACACATACTAATCAGGGGGAATGGGAACCAGTTGTGCGTAATGAACCAGGTCAGTGACGCCTAGAAGGGCGGTGAGGTAGACTTCCGGAGCTGGTGAACGGAATGAGCAGCAGTACCAGGGGATCCGTGACACGTTTGTTGGTGTCAAGTAGTGACCCAATCAATTCTTTAAAATCCATCTTCAGCTGTTCTGAGCTGCCCTTCATAATGTCATTGAATCCCATATGAACTATGATATACTGAATTTCCTGATGCTGGTTTAAAATGTTTGGGAGCACCATATTGATGTCCTGTTCTCGTGCTCCTGGATAGCACAACGTTTTTGTTCCAGGGATTGAGACATTTCTCACCATTGAACTGCCCAATCCAATGGCCGGAGAAGGGAATGGTGAAATCCGCCCATTTCCACCCCTCACACATTTCATTGAGTCTTTCACGGGCCCACGAGAAGCAGGATAGCGTATCCCGAACTCGACAATGACGCCGCTGCTGGAGTCAGCATAATTGGAGTCAGCACCGTCATTGCAGACACAGGCAATCTCAGCGATGAAGGCGCAGGTAGATCAGAAACCAGTACAGCGAAACTATTCCTTATGTCAATGTGCTCCGAACCTCTCGCAGACACCCCCATCCACTTAGCAGCATGCCACTACCTTCGGTTTCCACGACTTGCGACATGGGACCAGCGCTGATTGGAACATTCTACTTGCTGTTCCCAGTCTACTTCACTACAGGATGGAGGAGGAGAAGCAGATGGAGACGATATCCTTGGCAGGCAAGTTCCAGGTAGCACAGGCCATTCGGATAGGGACAGATGACAAGGCAGGGAAACATCCATCAGGCCCGAGCGACGTCCAGCCGTAGGAGTTGAGAACGAGAAAGTTCCAATATGTGTTTTCCCCATAAGCTCGTGCAGAATTGAGATGTGTTTGCTAAGCATAGTCACCTCATTCCTGTAATCCTCAGCTAGCAAACAATTGCCGCATTGGAACTCCAGATTGTCAATATTGTCCTTGACAAGATTATAATAAACACAGCTTCTACAGCGTGGAAATGTTCGTTAGCTCTTCAAGGCGAAGCGGACTCCATTGCAACCTAGCTAGTTGGTAGCAGGTGTTGACACAGGTATCCGAGTTCTTGAGTTACGAAGTTTTCGGCGCTGAGTCGGTGTCTCTCAACAACAGCATGTTTCCGGTTTCTGGTTGATGACAACAGCCACGAGAATATGACAACAGGTTGTTAGCAAGCTATTTTTGCGACATTGACACAGAAACAGTGGCTTGCTAAAGTATTCACCCCCCTTGGCATTTTTCCTATTTTGTTGCCTTACAACCTGGAATTAAAATAGATTTGTATCATTTGATTTACACAACATGCCTACCACTTTGAAGATGCAAAATATTTTTTGGGGTGAAACAAACAAGAAATAAGACAAAAAAACATTAAATTTGAGCGTGCATAACTATTCACCCCCCCAAGTCAATACTTTGTAGAGCCACCTTTTGCAGCAATTACAGCTGCAAGTCTCTTGGGGTATGTCTCTATAAGCTTGGCACATCTAGCCACTGTGATTTTTGCCCATTCTTCAAGGCAAAACTGCTCCAGCTCCTTCAAGTTGGATGGGTTCCGCTGGTGTTCAGCAATCTTTAAGTCATACCACAGATTCTCAATTGGATTGAGGTCTGGGCTTTCACTAGACCATTCCAAGACATTTAAATGTTTCCCCTTAAACCACTCGAGTGTTGCTTTAGCAGTATGCTTAAGATCATTGTCCTGCTGGAAGGTGAGTCTCAAATCTCTGGAAGACTGAAACAGGTTTCCCTCAAGAATTTCCCTGTATTCTGACCAGTTTCCCAGTCCCTGCCGATTAAAAACATCCCCACAGCATGATGCTGCCACCACCATGCTTCACTGTGGGGATGGTGTTCTCGGGGTGATGAGAGGTGTTGGGTTTGCACCAGATATAGTGTTTTCCTTCATGGCCAAAAAGCTCAATTTTAATCTCATCTGACCAGAGTACCTTCTTCCATATGTTTAAGGGAGTCTCCAACATGCCTTTTGGTGAACATGAAATGTGTTTGCTTATTTTTTTCTTTAAGCAATGGCTTTTTTCTGGCTACTCTTCCGTAAAGCCCAGCTCTGTGGAGTGTACGGCTTAAAGTGGTCCTATGGACAGATACTCCAATCTCCGCTGTGGAGCTTTGCAGCTCCTTCAGGGTTATCTTTGGTCTCTTTGTTGCCTCTCTGATTAATGCCCTCCTTGCCTGGTCCGTGAGTTTTGGTGGGTGGCCCTCTCTTGGCAGGTTTGTTGTGGTGCCATATTATTTCAATTTTTTTATAATGGATTTAATGGTGCTCCGTGGGATGTTCAAAGTTTTTGATATTTTTTTATAACCCAACCCTGATCTGTACTTCTCCACAACTTTGTCCCTGACCTGTTTGGAGAGTGCCTTGGTCTTCATAGTGCCGCTTGCTTGGTGGTGCCCCTTGCTTAGTGGTGTTGCAGACTCTGGGGCCTTTCAGAACAGGTGTATATATACTGAGATCACGTGACAGATCATGTGACACTTAGATTGCACACAGGTGGACTTTATTTAACTAATTATGTGACTTCCGAAGGTAATTGGTTGCACCAGATCCTACTCCCCAGGAGCTATCATTTGTTGACTTCTGTAACTGTAAAAACATTGGTTTTTTGCATGTTAACATCAGAAGCCTCCTCCCTAAGTTTGAGTTATTCATTGCGTTAGCACACTCCGCCAACCCTGATGTTCTAGCAGTGTCTGAATCCTGGCTTAGGAAGGCCATCAACAATTCAGAAATGTCCATCCCCAACTACAACATTTTCTGTCTAGATAGAACTGCCAAAGGGGGTGGAGTTGCAATCTACTGTAGAGATAACCTGCAGAGCTCTATCATACTATCCAGGTCTGTGCCCAAACAGTTTGACCTCCTACTTCTAAAAATCCACCTTTCCAGAAATAAGTCTCTCACTATTGCCGCTTGCTACAGACCCCCCTCAGCCCCCAGCTGTGCCCTGGACGCCATATGTGAATTGATTGCCCCCCCCATCTATCCTCAGAGTTCGTACTGCTTGGTGACCTAAACTGGGATATGCTTATCACCCTGGCCATCCTACAATCCAAACTAGATGCCCTCAATCTCACACAAATTATCAAGGAACCTACCAGGTACAACCCTAAATCCGTAAACATGGGCACCCTTATAGATGTCATCCTGACTAACTTACCCTCTAAATACACCTCCGCTGTCTTCAACCAGGATCTCAGCGATCACTGCCTTATTGCCTGCGTCCGTAACGGGTCCACTGTCAAACGCTCCCTAAAACACTTTAGCGAGCAGGCCTTCCTAATTGACCTGGCCCAGGTATCCTGGATGGATATCGATCTCATTCTGTCAGTAGAGGATGCCTGGTTGTTCTTTAAAAGTGCTTTCCTCTCAATCTTAAATAAGCATGGCCCATTCAAAAAATTCAGAACTATGAACAGATATAGCCCCTGGTTCTCCTCAGACTTGACTGCCCTTGACCAGCACAAAAACATCCTGTGGCGTACTGCATTAGCATCGAATAGCACCTGCGATATGCAACTTTTCAGGGAAGTTAGGAACCAATATACACAAGCAGTTAGGAAAGCAAAGGCTAGCTTTTTCAAACAGAAATTTGCATCCTGTAGCACTAACTCCAAAAAGTTTTGGGACACTGTAAAGTCCATGGAGAATAAGAGCACCTCCTCCCAGCTGCTCACTGCACTGTGGCTAGGAAACACTATCACCACCGATAAATCTACAATAATCGAGAATTTCAACAAGCATTTTGCTACGGCTGGCCATGCTTTCCACCTGGCTAGCACTACCCCGGTCACCAGCTCTGCACCCTCCGCTGCAACTTGCCCATGCCTCCCCTGCTTCTCCTTCACACAAATTCAGACAGCTGATGTTCTGAAAGAGCTGCAAAATCTGGACCCCTATAAATCATCTGGGCTAGACAATCTGGACCCTTTCTTTCTAAAATTAGCTGCCGAAATTGTCGCAACCCATATTACTAGCCGGTTCAACCTCTCTTTCGTAACGTCTGAGATCCCCAGAGATTGGAAAGCTGCGGCGGTCATCCCCCTCTTCAAAGGGGGTGACACTCTAGATCCAAACTGTTACAGACCTATATCCATCCTGCCCTGCCTTTCGAAAGCATTTGAAAGCCAAGTTAACAAACAGATCACCGACCATTTCGAATCCCACCGTACCTTCTCCGCTATGCAATCCGGTTTCTGAGCTGGTCATGGGTGCAGCTCAGCCACGCTGAAGGTCCTAAACGATATTATAACCGCGATCGATAATAGACAGTACTGTGCAGCCGTCTTCATCGACCTGGCCAAGGCTTTCGACTGTCAACCACCGCATTCTTATTGGCATACTAAATAGCCTCGGTTTCTCAAATGACTGCCTCGCCTGGTTCACCAACTACTTCTCAGATAGAGTTCAATATGCCAAATCGGAGGGCCTGTTGTCTGGACCTATGGCAGTCTCTATGGGGGTACCACAGGGTTCACTTCTTGGGCCGACTCTTTTCTCTGTGTATATCAATGATGTCGCTCTTGCTGCTGGTGATTCTCAGATCCACCTCTATTCAGACGACACCATTTTGTATACATCTGGCCCTTCATTGGACACTGTGTTAACAAACCTCCAAACGAGCTTCAATGCCATACAACACTCCTTCCGTAGCCTCCAACTGCTCTTATAAACAAGTAAAACTAAATGCATGCTCTTCAATCGAATGCTGCTGGCACCGGCCCACCCGACTAGAATCACTACTCTCAACGGGTCTGACCTAGAGTATGTGGACAACTACAAATACCTAGGTGTCTGGTTAGACTGTAAACTCTCCTTCCAGACTCACATTAAGCATCTCCAATCCAAAGTTAAATCTAGAATCGGCTTCCTATTTCGCAACAAAGCCTCCTTCACTCATGCTGCCAAACATGCCCTCGTAAAACTGACTATCCTACCGATCCTTGACTTCGGCGATGTCATTTACAAAATAGCCTCCAACACTCTAATCAGCAAATTGGATGTAGTCTATCACAGTGCCATCCGTTTTGTCACCAAAGCCCCATATACTACCCACCAATGTGACCTGTACGCTCTTGTTGGCTGGTCCTCACTACATATTTGTCGCCAATCCCACTGGCTCCAGACCATCTATAAATCACTGCTAGGCAAATCCCTGCCTTATCTTAGCTCATTGGTCACCATAGCAACACCCACCCGTAGTATGCGCTCCAGCAGGTATATCTCACTGGTCATCCCCAAAGCCAACACCTCCTTTGGCCGCCATTCCTTCCAGTTCTCTGCTGCCAATGACTGGAACGAACAGCAAAAATCTCTGAAGCTGGAGACTCTTATCTCCCTCACTAACTTTAAGCATCAGTTGTCAGAGCACCTTACCGATCACTGCACCTGTACACAGCCCATCTGAAATTAGTCCACTCAACTACCTCATCCCCATATTGTTATTTATTTTGCTAATTTGCACCCCAGTATCTCTATTTGCACAGCATCTCTTGCACATCTATCATTCCAGTGTTAATACTAATTGTAATTATTTTGCACTATGGCCTATTTATTGCCTTACATCCATAATTTGCTACATTTGCACACACTGTATATATATTTTCTGTTGTATTTTTGACTTTATGTTTTGTTTTACCCCATATGTAACTCTGTGTTGTTGTTTTTATCTTGGCCAGGTCGCAGTTGTAAATGAGAACTTGTTCTCAACTGGCTTACCTGGTTAAATAAAGGTGTACATATGAGTACATATGCACGCACCACTTTTCAGTTATTTATGTTTTACAATTATTTGAGAGATTTTTTCCATTTCACTTCACCAATTGGACTATTTTGTGTATGTCCATTACATGAAATCCAAATAAAAATCCATTTAAATTACAGGTTGTAATGCAACAAAATAGGAAAAAACGCAAAGTGGGCTGAATACTTTTGCAAGGCACTGTATAGGTTGTGTTGTTTGCCTCAGAGCTTTCAGAGCACACACTGGACACTCTGGCCGAGGAGTAGGGTTGATCCGAGCGTTCTGTTAATTTGGATGTGGGGATTTATGCCTTTCAATCTAATTTAAATGTTTGAACTTGTAACGCGGCTGCATTAATTTCTAACGCGGCGGCATGGGATTTGTCGGATTATGGCCGGAGTGGTGATGTTGCATCCAATGGCAGTGTCCATGAAAAGGTAACGCAATGATCTGGTTGTAGATTTGACAGCTCTAACACAGTTCCACCTCCGACACCACCAAAACAACATTATGTGGCTGTCAATCTGATTTACTCTAACCCTTAATGTCTGTTTCAAATGACACCCTATTTCCCATGAAGTAGTGCACTATATGGGGAATAGAGTGTCATTTGAAGCTACCCTCCAAAGGGAAACTTGGTGTTTCACAGCAATTATTTGATTTGTAAGATTGGGGCGCTCACAGGGAGACTATGTTGTGAAAACAGAACAGAACAGAACAGAGCCACAGTATGTACTTCCATAGTCAGTTCTCCTCAGAGCAGTTCTGTACAGGTGAGAGCGGGATGGGGGCCGGAGAGGGGAAACCCCTGGGATAATATCTTACCTAGCCCTTTGATTCAGGGTCGAACTGCTTCCTGTAGCGCATGTGACACACACATACGCTCACACAAATTGTAGGCAGTCAATTCAGGAAGTGATGTGAATAAAACATTCAGACATTTAAAAAGTTTTTAAATAAATAGCCCTTTTTTCGATTATTGAATTGTCATTTTTGTTTACTTCCTGAATTGACTGCCCAACCCTGACACACACACACCCTGTAATTACGGTACTTGCACTGACCCTGTATAGCTTGCATTCTCATGATTTTTAATGCTACTTTTCCTCAGAGCACATCCATGGTGTCTCCATATGTACTGTTACCACAGGGATGATGTTGGAAAGCTGTAGGCTCGTCAGCTTCCCCAGAGTAGCCAGAGAGAGACTGGAGGAACAGCAGGTACAGTCAGATAAATATTTATTTGTGAACAATAGACTTAGTCAAGCAAAACATTGCTGTATAGTATGTGTGCTTGTGGCAACAACGCCCCATCACACCCAAGAACAGATATGGATCTGGCTTCAGAACACTTGTTCTCTCTCTCTCTCTCTCTCTCTCTCTCTCTCTCTCTCTCTCTCTCTCTCTCTCTCTCTCTCTCTCTCTCTCTCTCTCTCTCTCTCTCTCTCTCTCTCTCTCTCTCTCTCTATCTCTCTCTCTCTCTCTCTCTCTCTCTCTCTCTCTCTCTCTCTCTCTCTCTCTCTCTCTCTCTCTCTCTCTCTCTCTCTCTCTCTCTCTCTCTCTCTCTCTCTCTCTCTAGGTGGAGGTTCAGAATGACTGCTCTGAGGTGTGGCCAGGTCAAGATGTTCACATCACCCTAAAGACAAATCCAAGCTACTGCGGAGTCACCTGGACAAGCACTTACCATGTTCCAGGTAAGAATGACCACCGTGAATACTTTCTACCAACTGATGTACTCAAAGCGCTTTACATAGTAAATGGGAAACTCACCTCATCCAGCACCAATGTGTGGCATTCACGGCAGCCATTTTGTGCCAGAATGCTCACTACACATCAGCTAGAATGGTGGAGAGGTGAGGATATATGCCAATTAAGAATGAGGTAGATGATTAGGTGGCCATAATATCAACCAATTGATTGAAATCGCCTATTTCAGCATCTTGCACACACAGATTCCCAGTGGATCATGTTGGTTAAACCTGACTGTATTTGACTTTGATTATTTAAGAACTATTGAGTTGAGTGAGGTGAACTGACACTGCAGGCTATCATAAGCAAACATATTGAGTCAGCAAATGTCTTCTGCAGAAACACTTAAATATCATAAAACCCTCAAGGTCTATCCGAAAGTCCCCCTACCCTGCTGAAAAAAAACAGCATAGACCAGCATGGGCCAGCTTTAAATGTATGCTGGTCTATGCTGTTTTTTTCAGCAGGGTAGTCATGCTCTTACTCAATATGCATACACAATGATCATATGTCGATGCACTGTTTGTTTTACAGAGAACAAAACTGAACTTGGTTTTAAACTATATTTCAGAATGTGACAGCAGAGATCTTCGGAGTAACATTCCAGAATGTATCAGTAAGTTTGATAGATTTTATTTCTCTATTGTTCTATAGTTCACAACCATTGAATAACACTAGATATCCCTTAGAATGGGTTAAAATGACAGACTATTTCTGCATTCAACAAGGCTACATATTTGCCTTGCCAAACCAGACAACAACATACTCATTCTACATTTCCTTGTGTACAAATCAGCCAAAATATATTGGCAGTGCATCCATTTCCCTTGACTGTGTGATTACTGACTGACTGTGTCCTATGACAGCTGGTAGGCTAGCGTACACTGTGGACTCAGACAGAAAGGAGCTGGCTGTGTCTGTCTCAGACATGTTGGAGGATGAAGACTATCACCTGAGACTGTGTCACAGAAAAGCCTACACCTGTAGAGACACAGGGGCCAACACACTGGTAAGATTACAGGAGATGGGGACTTTATAGAGTAAATGTTTATTCTCAAATGGTGGGACCCTGGTTAGCCTGGAATCCATAATGTATGTTTCACTATTGTTTCACTCAGTGAAATGAAAGCATAGTGAAACAGATTGATATTCAGTTTGGAGTGTGGCTAGGCACTGATAATATGTTGAGGCACTTCCCCACTTTCACTTTCCTAGCATAATAACACCTCCCAGTGCGTTTACAACTACTGCTTGCCAGTAAGTGTTGTAAACCTGTGATAGTCAACACTATACTTTGTGCATACTCTGATAGTAACACAGGGAAGAGGAAGGTCGTAGAAATGCCTCAACTAAATGGTATGACGCTGAGACAAGCATCATAAATCAGTTGTGCTATACTCATCAGACCCTGGATTTAAATTCCATTTGAAATAATTTCAAGTACTTTACCTGGGCTTGATTGAGCTTGCCTGGCACAATGGAACCAATATAATAGTGCCAAAACTACAAATCAGGCCCATCTGGCACTCCAGGCAGACTAGTATTTGAAAAGATGTCAAATAGTATTTGAACCCAGGTCTGATCCTTGTTGACCCTTGTTCCTTCTCCGCAGATCAGAAAGGAGGATGTGCTGAAGAATACTACTCTGCAGTATTCTACACCTTTGCCCTGTCTCTGTATCGAGGTAACGACACTTAACGGCTCATTATCTAGTTAGATCAATCTTTATCTACTATTTTAACTGCGTTTTAGATAATTTTGTTTCACCTTTATGTAATCAAATGTCTTTATGATGATCTGGACTGTCTTGTGGACATTGTGGTGTTACAGTGCATTCGGAAAGTGTTCAGACCCCTTTACTTTTTTCACATTTTGTTACGTTACAGCCTTATTCTAAAATGTATTATATAGATTTTTTCCCTCATCAATCTAGACACTATACCCCATAATGACAAAGCAAAAAAAGGGTTTTAGAAATTGTTGCAAATGTATAAAAAAACAACTAAAATAACACATTTAAGTACACAACCAGTCAAAAGTTTGGACACACCTACTCATTCAAGGGGTTTTCTTAATTTTTTACTATTTTTTACATTGTAGAATAATAGTGAAGACATCAAAACTATGAAATCACACATATGGAATCATGTAGTAAACAAAAAAGTGTTAAAGAAATCAAAATATGTTTTATATTTGAGATTCTTCAAATAGCCACCCTTTGCCTTGATGGCAGCTTTGCACATTCTTGACATTCTCTCAACCAGCTTCACCTGGAATGGTTTTCCAACAGTCTTGAAGGAGTTCCCACATATGCTGAGCACTTGTTGGCTGCTTTTCCTTCACTCTGTGGTCGGACTCATCCCAAACCATCTCAATTTGGTTGAGGTCGGGGGATTGTGGAGGCCAGGTCATCTGATGCAGCACTCCATCACTCTCCTTCTTGGTAAAATAGCCCTTTGACAGCCTGGAGGTGTGTTGGGTCATTGTCCTGTTGAAAAACAAATGAGAGGCCCACTAAGCCCAAACCAGATGGGATGGCGTATCGCTGTAGAATGCTGTGGTAGCCATGCTGGTTAAGTGTGCCTTGAATTTACATTTTAGTCATTTAGCAGACGCTCTTATCCAGAGCGACTTACAGTTAGTGAATACATTATTTAATTTTTTTATACTGGCCCCCCGTGGTAATCAAACCCACAACCCTGGCGTTGCAAACGGCATGCTCTATCAACTGAGCTACATCCCTGCCGGCCATTCCCTCCCCTACCCTGAACGATGCTGGGCCAATTGTGCGCCGCCCACAATTGGCCCAGCGTCGTCCAATTGTGCGCCTCCTCCTCCATGCTTTACGGTGGGAAAACACATGCGGAGATCATCCGTTCACCCACACCGCGTCTCACAAAGACACAGCGGTTGGAACCAAAAATCTCCAATTTGGACTCCAGACCAAAGGACAAATTTCCACCGGTCTAATGTCCATTGCTCGTGTTTCTTGGCCCAAGCAGGTCTCTTCTTCTTATTGGTGTCCTTTAGTAGTGGTTTCTTTGCAGCAATTCGACCATGAAGGCCTGATTCACACAGTCCCCTCTGAACAGTTGATGTTGAGATGTGTCTGTTACTTCATCACAGCGCTTGATGGTTTTTGCGAATGCACTTGTATAAACTTTCAAAGTTCTTGAAACTTTACGGATTGACTGACCTTCATGTCTTAAAGTAATGATGTACTGTCATTTCTCTTTGCTTATTTGAGCTGTTCTTGCCATAATATGGACTTGGTCTTTTACCAAATAGGGCTATCTTCTGTATACCACCCCTCCCTTGTCACAACAAAACTGATTGGCTCAAACGCATTAAGAAGGAAAGAAATTCCACAAAGTAACTTTTAACAAATGCATTCCAGGTGACTACCTCATGAAGCTGGTTGAGAGAATTCCAAGAGTGTGCAAAGCTGTCATCAAGGCAAAGGGTGGCTACTTTGAAGAATCTCAAATATATTTTGATTTGTTTAACACTTTTTTGGTTACTACATGATTCTATATGTGTCATTTCATAGTTTTGATGTCTTCACTATTATTCTACAATGTAGAAAAACTGTAAAAATAAAGAAAAACCCTGGAATGAGTAGGTGTGTCCAAACTTTTGACTGGTACTGTACATATTCAGACCCTTTACTCAGTACTTTGTTGAAGCACCTTTGGCAGAGATTACAGCCTCGAGTATAATTGGGTATGATGCTGCCACCACCATGCTTCACTGTAGGGATAGTGCCAGGTTTCCTCCAGACGTGATGCTTGGCATTCAGGCCAAAGAGTTGAATCTTGGATTCATCAGACCAGAGAATCTTGTTTCTCATGGTCTGAGAGTCTTTAGGTGCGAAGCGGGCCTTCATGTGCCTTTTACTGAGGAGTGGCTTCCGTCTGGCCACTCTTCCATAAAGGCCTGATTGGTGGAGTGCTGCAGAGATGGTTGTCCTTCTGGAAGGTTTTCTCATCTCCACAGAGGAACTCTGGAGCTCTGTCAGAGTGACCATCAGATTCTGGCCGGGCGGCCAGCTCCAGGAAGAGTCTTGGTGGTTCCAAACTTCATCCATTTAAGAATGACGGAGGCCAATGTGTTCTTGGGGACCTTCAATGCTGCAGAAATATTTTGGTACCCTTCCTCAGATCTGTTCCTTGACACAATCCTGTCTCAGAGCTCTACAGACAATTCCTTCGACCTCATGGCTTAGTTTTTGCTCTGACATGCTGTGGGACCTTGTATAGACAGGTGTGTGCCTTTCCAAATTATGTCCAATCAATTGAATCTACCACAGGTGGACTCCAATCAAGTTGTAGAAACATCTCAAGGATGATCAATGGAAACAGGATGCACCTGAGCTCAATTTTGAGTCTCATTGCAAAGTGTCTGAATACTTATGTAAATAAGGTATTTCTATTTTTAGTTTAAGTTTTTTGTAAAAATTTCTACAAACCAGTTTTTTCTTTCTAATTATGGGATATTGTGTGGAGATTGATGAGGATTTTTTATTTATTTAATCTGTTTTAGAATAAGGCTGTAACGTAACAAAATGCGGAAAAAGTCAAGGGGTCTGAATACTTTCCGAATGCACTGTATATATTTCTATATTTATCCCACAGGGCTGGTCTGCCACGTCTGATGCACCCAGAGTTCAAGTCTTTCCCTTCAAAGACCGTGAGTGTCCTTCAATTTCTATTAGACTGAATGTTTTATTAGTTGGTTGGTTGATTGATTGTGAAATTTGCAAGATTGTCAGTGCATTGCTTTTGACCGTGCCTCTTCTTTTCTCCAAAGGTCTGGAGGAGTTGTGGTCTGGCATAAACTTTGACCCGGTGGAGGAGGCTTTGTCATGGGAACCAGTGTGTCCTGTTGCCGTGGTGATCTCACTGTGCCAGAAACGAGGGGACGATGAGTGTGACGATCTGGCTGGTTCATCACAGACCCTCAGCAGGGAAAAGGTTAGGTGCCTCAATCAATCAGTTAGTAAATCAATCAGCCTCACATCTGTACTTCTTTGAACTCCTTCACAGTTAAAATGCTGTTTCAAAGACAAAAGACTGATATGACATAGAAACAGTCAGGCACCAAGACTATATCACCAGATGACTGTTTTAACTATTATAGATTAAAGTCCTAATTTAACTGTAGCTCAGCTGGTAGAGCACGGCGCTTGTAACGCCAAGGTAGTGGGTTCGATCCCCGGGACCACCCATACACAAAAATAAATAAATGTATGCACGCATGACTGTAAGTCGCTTTGGATAAAAGCGTCTGCTAAATGGCATATTACTATTGTTATTATAACTTTCTTTCAGATAACATTCTCCAGAGTGGATCCACACCCACAGCTTTGTATGAAGGTAAGACACCACCTTTGCCTGTGACTGAATGCATTATCTTTCTAAGAAGTCCTACTTACTATCTGAACATACCGGTACATCTCCCCTTTGAGTATGCAGAACAAATTCATCTAACAAATGCATGCTCCTGGCTGTTGTTTTATCTACAGTTTACCACAGATTCTGGATCCTGGATCCGGTGCCCCTTTGCAGATGGGAATTTCCAAGGTAATAGCTCTCTGTAAATAGTGTGCATATAATTATCATGAGTGATCCGTCTGAAGTTGTGAATGATGTGCTTTTAAGTGGAAAAGCGTGCCACAGTTTGCACATCAGTCAAACCCATGACACCCAAGGATTAGAAACCACCAACGCTCTAGTATCAATCTTTACACCCACGGGGGGTATGAAAAATAAATAAATATGTATGCACTCACTAACTGTAAGTCATTCTGGATAAGAGCGTCTGCTAAATGACTAAAATGTAAAATGTAAATGTACACTAATACTATTATGGCAGACCTGGATTATGGCAGACATGGATTAAAATAGCATTTGTCTGGCACAATGAACCAATGAACCACCCATATGGCACTCCAGGCAGGCTGAATCAAATGCTCAAACTTTTTGGAAAGAAAACATACTATTTGAACCCAGGTCCGTTATCTAGTATTACCAGTATAGAGTACCACAGTATGAGTCGTTTTTCCACTGTAAATTTTTCCCATAGGGGATTTTAGAAACACTTAAAATAAGAGCTGCATTTCATGTAGGCTTACCCTGGCGTGACGTTTTGATAACTGTGTAAATCTCTCTAGGACAAGGTGACTTTTATCAATATATATGCCTGTATTTACTATTTACCCCCCAAAAATGAAATGCTAATTAGCTGTTAATGTGGCTATCATAAATAACTACAAATACAATGATGATCTGGATGAGCCTGCCGAATTCGAGGCAAAGGTAAGAATCTCTGGATTAACTATCTAATGTTAGCTAAATGTAGTAATGAATAAATAGGCTACATTTCTTTAAATTGACTATTCTGTAAACTGTCTTCTGCAAGTTTTAAATTGACACAATACCTGTTAGCAAAGGTATCGGCCAGAGATGACTTGCAGGGATTTGTAGTTTTGCATGACGTCTACTTTGATGCTAGTTACCATTTTCGAATATATTGATAAAAGTCACCTTGTCCAAGAAAGATTTACAAGGTTATCAAAACATCACGCCAGGGTAAGCCTACATGAAACACAGCAATTATTTTAAGTGTTTCTAAAATCCCCTATGGGAAAATGAATGGTGGGAAAACTATTGAAACCGTTTCCGTTTGACCGCTAGGTTTTATGGGTATTATGACACCTCCACTGTGGGGCTCTATACTGCAGGTGATCATACAGTAATTAATGTTGAATGATGCCATTGCCTTGCTCTCCAGCCTGGGACCTGGGTGTCGACCAGCTGCGGCTGGTTGTAACATCACGGGTCAGAGCACCAATCTCGCTTCGTGTGTGTGTGAAGACGGGGACCTCTGTATGCCACCCAGGACACACATTCCCTGTACATGGGGTAAATAAATGTCTATCTGCAACTAATTCTTATCATAGGCAACAGTACTAATGATTATTTTTTTTAAATAAGGGTGTTTGCTTACTATAAAGTCTGCTATATCAAGGAGCTGTGTGGACCAAACAAAGATACAATTACTGTATGACTTACGTTCCCCAATAACCAAAAATCATCGCTCAACATAAAAAGGGAACTAAACCAGGTGGGGTTTTAAAATAGGTTCTGAAAGGCATCCATGGGGGGTGCCTACTGAGTGCTGGCCAAGCGAACTCGAGTAGTGTCTTAACACACCCACCATGGACTCCCATTAGAGTTGCCTGATACAGACAAACTAAAACAACCCACACCAACTTAAGTTAGGGAGTGAAAATAAACATGGAGCAAACCAAAGAGGGAGGCACAAAATAAAAGGCTTTGTATTCACAAACTTAGAAGGAGAGTTAAACTGCTCTTCCAACATCTATCATGCCAACTGGAGCATTGGCTCTGCAGCTCTTAAATATCACCTGTGCCAGCACGAGGCGACAAGTGCAACACATCCTGACCACCGAGGATGACTCCAATCAGCGCACATGATCAACTTAAAGGGGAACTACACCCGCTGAGTTGGCCTCGTTTTTTGGCTTGCTCCTCAAGAAATGCTGACGGCCATGACAGAAACCAAACATGAGTTGGCTTAGGGCTGTGGTTTCATGTGGGTGTGTCAGTGGGCAGGTTTGTTTTACATGGCCCGGTGCCCTGTGTGGGTTGAGATTTCTCCTTAGGACCAATGGAATGGTAGAAAATGAGCAAACCCCACCCACCCGGGGCACCAGGCAATGCAAAACGAATTTGCTCCTAACCTCCACCAAGACACACCCATCTGTCAGAACCTTGCCCGCAGCTGTTTTCCCCCACTCAATCACAACAAAGAAACCTCCTGCAGGTTGAGTTCAATAACTACAGGCAGACGTATGGTGAGATGCTGGAGGAAGCTTTGTAGCCTACAGAATAATATGAGAATAATTTAATTGCTGAATTTATGTAGATATTCTTAACTACGTGTTTTGATAACGTTCAGGTCCATGTAGAATAAACAACCCTTTACATAATACCATAGAAGCAGTGTTCTGCTAATATAACAATGTGCACCTTTCATTGTCATTCCCAGCCGGTACAGATACTGTGCCTATCGGCATTTTGTCTGGTGGTAATTGGGCTATCTTGGCATACATGTCAGAGTGGTCATACCTTCCTGTGCAGTTCCCTGATCCTGGTGCAGAATTCACAGGGTTTCTCCCTCCCCATATTGACTGATACCATTCAATTCAATAATAAAAATAAAATATAAAAAAAATTAAATAGCTGCCTAAAGAAGTTTTGACAAAAGAGGGAAAATCTTGATCTGTGTACCTTCCTAGTATTCCCATTTCCTTGGGACGAGCCCAACCAAAACAAAACTTACATCTCTAATACAGCGAAACGTGCGGTCAAAATACAATTTGTGCCAGGGCTAAACACTAGCTAAGCACAACAAAAACGTATTGACTGCCCACCCTTGAAAGACAATCAGCATCCAAGTTGTCCTTACCACGGACATGTCTGTTTTCAAAAGGAAACTCCTGCAATATGAGACTCCAGTGAAGGAGTCTGCAATTCGTGGAGCTCGTCTTTTACAGGAAAACAAGAGGGTTACAATCACTAAAGACCAGAAGAGGGGTAGAGACCGATACACAAACCTTGATCTGCTGTTGAGTGTTTCTTTCTCAATGGTGGAGTAGTGTTTCTGATAGGAGGCCAACTTCTTCGAAAAGTACCCCACTGGATGCTCAACATCGTTGTCGTCTTGCTGCAGGAGCACAGCACCTGCTCCTACATCACTGGCATCTGTATACAAAGAGAATGGATGATGGAAATCTGGAGCGGCAAGCACCGGTGCGGAGACCAAAAGGCCTTCGTCTTCTCAAAAGCCACCTGACAGTCTGGGCTCCAACGGAAAATGACTTTGGGACTGGTCAAATCCGTAAGTGGGGCAACAACCTGGGCAAAGTTCTTGCAAAATGGTTGGTAGTAGCCAGCCACCCTCAAGAATTGGTGCAGTTCCTGGCGAGAAGTTGGCACAGGAAGGCTATTGATGGCCTCCACTTTTGCCATGACCGGTCAGACTTTTCCTTGGTCCACCATCTTCCAGAGATACTTCACTGTTGCTTGGGTGATTTCACTCTTTGACAGTTTAACATTCATTCAAGCTGGCAGACGCAGAACAGATGTTCTGAAGGTGTTCTGGCCAGGTGGCATAAATACCACCACATTGTCCAAATATGCCTCAGCATTTTCCAGACCACGTAGCATGATGTGCATGAGCCTTTGAAATGTGGCTCCGGCATTTCATAACCTGAACGGAAGATGAAGGTAAGATAACAAACCATTAGGAGTGAGAAAAGCAGACGGCTCTTTGGCACGCTCAGTTAGAGGGACATGCCAGTATCCCTTCAGGAGATTGAACTTGCTAACGTACAGCGCCAACACGGTCCACACAATCGCAGACCCTGGGCACATTAGAGGCTGCTGCTGCCTATTGAAATCACTGGCCACTTTAAGAAATGGAACACTAGTCACTTTAATAATGTTTACATATCTTGCACTACTCATCTCATATGTATATACTGTATTCTATTCTATAATATTCTACTGTATCTTAGCCCATGCCGCTCTGTCATTGCTTGTCCATATATGTATATATTCTTAAATTCCATTCCTTACTAGATTTGTGTGTATTGGGTATATGTTGTGAAATTGTTAGATATTACTTGTTAGATATTACTGCACTGTTGGAGCTAGAAGCACAAGCATTTCGCTACACCCGCAATAACATCTGCTAAACACGTGTATGTGACAAATAAAATTTGATTTGATTTGAAGGGTACGAGTCTGATTTAGTAACATCAATGAGTTTGAGAAAATCAGAACAAAAGCGCAGAGACCCATCCGGCTTATGTACCAATATGCAGGGTGAACTCCACGGACTGTTGCCATGTTGTGCAATGCCGTGCTCAAGCATGAATTCTACCTCACTGCAGAGTTTCTCTCTCTTTTCAGGATTCACTCGAGTCCAACGAGCCCAACGTGTTATGCTCTAGTACATTTGTCTGAGTTGGCACATCTGAAAATAAACCCTGATATTCTAAAAGCAGTGCAACAATGTCACCTTTCTCCTCCGGAGACAAGTGTGCCAAAAAGCTCTCAAGGTTTTCCAGAATCTCTGTGTTACTCAACCGTCCCGGCACAGTGTGTATTGGGCTTTCCTCGTGCTCTCAAGGAAGTGCTGGGCTTTCCTCATGCTCTCGAAGAAGACAATAGTCAACGGTGATGGCAGTGGCCACCGACTTCTCCGCCGATCACAGCGGGAGAAGTATGGTTTCAACATATTGACATGACACAGTAGTTTTTTCCCCCTGCGCTCCGGTGTGGCGATGATGTAATAAAAAAATATATATTTATGAGGTAAGGTCCTGAAAAGTGAGCTCAAAACAGTGACACCAGATTCTTGAACAACCTCCCGTGCTGCAAATAGCACTAGAGGGACCATTTCATCCCAGTCTTTCTCGAACTCAAAGCCGTAATCTCTCAACATAGACTTCAAAGTCTGATGAAATCTCTCAAGAGAACCTTGAGGGGCAATAGGTAGCACTAGAGGGGCAATAGGTAACACCCAACTGCTGTAGCACTTGCTGAAATTAGAACCTTGGTCTGATTGGACTACCTGCGGAAGTCCAAACGTTGACAAGAACACCCTCCAAAATTAAGGATTGGGCTACCCCAGTGTCTCACAGTATCTCCACAGGCTGTTTAACAGCATCACCACTCTGCAGAGACATGAACCCATCTGAAACAAAGGGTTCATACATATCTGATCTAAGACTTAACGGGCTTGAGTGCTCCCACAAAAAGAACAGCTTTTTCTGTCTCATTTTTCTGTTTCAACTTAGGAGACAGTGGCCGTGTCCGAATACCCATACTAGCGTACTACATACTTAAACTGCATACTCTTTACTCATCGTTGCATACTATTTAGCACGTACCGTTTAGCGTATAGAAAAAGTATGCAGTATGACACAGCCGCAACGCAGTAGCGGCTCCTGATTGGCTAAGTAGGTGGGGCGGGACCGAGTGCGGGTGGATTTTTCCAAATTCAAAAGACATGCATCGCATTAACCAACCTGATAATAGCTCATTTCCAATTTGATTAACCCTTTTATGCGTACGAATAATCATTCTACAGTGGTCAATACAGTGTAGGCTCAAACCGGTGTGATTAGAACACTTCATTAGAACATCTAGTTACGATTGATGCAACAGTCAGCGTTTGAGCAGGCCACACTTTTTTCACAGCAACATTTTGCATAAACACAGTCTTTAGAACGTTATGTCCTTAATGTGACCTTTCGGTTACTGGCCCAATGTTCTTAACCGCTAGTCTAAAACCGTGAAGAACTGACAGAAACACAATACCAGGTCGTACATGAAAGAGAGAGGGGACACACCTAAACAGAAGTACAACAGAAGCCATAAGGAAATATATTTATTCTTCTAAAGCTCACTGACATGTTTTTGTATTCTGTTTCCTTTTACAGGAGAGTGTTTTGAAGTACACTCAAATGTTTTATGTCTTCCTTTTGCAGGAGAAATCTGTTAATCTCAACCTGACTGTGGACATATGCCTACCAAACACCTGTGTCCAAGTAAGATGAATACTGTTCATGTAAATGTTCGTACATGTATAGTTCTCACAGGCATTTTGATATTGATTGATAGACGCATATTCTATTTTGACAGGTGAAGAGGCTTAACGTAAAGTATGCTGCCACCATCCTTCATTGCTATATACGATGCTGTGAGTGTTGTGTAACTTTTTGACCTATAGTACAAGGGTTTACTAAGAAGAAGTGAGCTCATTCAAAACTCTCTTGAGTTCAGCCTTGTGTGACCATTCAGCCTTGAGTGACCGACTGGGTTCCTACAGGGTCTCCCACAAGACCGTGTTAGCCCAATGAGCTAAAGCCAAGGTATTGGCTCTGGTAGCTAACGCAAGTCTTCAGGAAATCTAACAAGCCTCAGGCAAGGTTACTCATCACGCTTGTGTGGTTCACCTTACCTCCTCCATTATATTAACTCATTCAACATTCTCGAGGAGGGAGGCATTCCCCTACTCAGCTGCGCTCCACCTTCTTTACACTGGAATCCTTGCATGCACACCTTGCCTTGGCCCCTATCTGATACAAACACTGTTGACTTCACAGCCTAAGTATCTTTTGTTTGAGGCTGTGTGTGTGAATGTGTTGAACGAGACTGAACACGCCAAATGTACAGTTCCTTCAGAAAGTATTCATACCCTTTGACTTATTCCCCATTTTGTTGTTACAGCCTGAATTCAAAATGGATTACATTTTTTTTATATCACTAATCTACACACAATACCCCATAATGAGAAAGTGAAAACCTGTTTTTAGAAATTGTTGCAAAGTTATTGAAAATGAAATACAGAAATATCTAATTTACATAAGTATTCACACCCCTGAGCCAATACATGTTAGAATCAGCTTTGGCAGCGATTACAGCTGTGAGTCTTTCTGGGTAAGTCTCTAAGAGTTTTGCACACCAGGATTGTACAATATCTGCACATTATTCTTTATTCAAGCTCTGTCAAGTTGGTTGTTGATCATTGCTGGACAGCCATTTTCAAGTCTTGTCATAGATTTTCAAGCCGATTTAAGTAACAACATTCAATGTTGTCTTGGTAAGCAACTTCAGTGTATATTTGGCTTTGTATTTTAGGTTATTGTCCTGCTGAAGGATGAATTTGTCTCCCAGTGTCAGTTGGAAAGCAGACTGAACCAGGTTTTTATCTCGGAAATTGCCTGTGCTTAGCTCTATTCCGTTTCTTTAATGTTAAAAATCTCCCTAGTCCATGCTGATGACAAGCATACGCATAACATGAAAGAACCACCACCATGCTTGAAAATATGAAGAGTGGTACACAGTAATGTGTGGATTGGATTTTCCCCTAAAATAATTATTTGTATTCAGGACATAACGTTTATTTCTTTAAATTTTTTTGCAGTTTTACTTTAGTGTTATTGCAAACAGGATGCATGTTTTGGAATATTTGTATTCTGTACAAGCTTCCTTCTTTTCACTCTGTCATTTAGGTTAGTTTTGTGGAGTAGCCCCGTGTAGCTCAGTTGGTAGAGCATGGCGCTTGCCAGGGTTGTGGGTTCGTTTCCCACGGGAGGCCAGTATGAAAATGTATACACTCACTAACTGTAAGTCGCTCTGGATAAGAGCGTCTGCTAAATGACTAAAATGTAAAATGTAAATGTAACTACAATGTTGTTGATCCATCCTCAGTTATCTCCTATCACAGCCATTCAACTCTGTAACTGTTTTAAAGTCACCATTGGCCTCATGGTGAAATCCCTGAGCATCTTCCTTCTTCTCCGTCCAAAGTGTAATTAATAATTGCACCATGCTCATGTTTAACATTATTATTGCACACAGAGTGAGTCCATGAAAGTTATTTAGTGACTTGCTAAGCAAATTTTTACTCCTGAACTTATTTAGGCTTGCCATAACAAAGGGGTTGAATACTTATTGACTCAAGACACTTAACCTTTTTATTTGTAATTAATTCGTAAAAAACGGTTGAAAAACATAATTCCACTTTGACAATATGGGGTATTGTGTGTAGGCCAGTGACACAAAATCTCAATTTAAACAATTTCAAATTCAGGCTGTAACACAACAAAATGTGGAAAAAGTCAAGGGGTGTGAATACTTTCTGAAGGCACTGTAGCTAAATGCTTCCACTCTATTTAAATGGCTTTATGGCAAGGGTTCAAAGAACACTGCTAACATGATGTAATTCCTCATACCAACAAACATTTTTATTTTTTCAACATGTTCACAAACCACTCCAGCTTTCAAAAACAAATTGAAAATAGGTTGTAGGCTAAGTGGTATTGGGAAATATTACACAGAAAAAGGTGCTTGAAGTCAAAGTGTATAACCACTGTTTACAGTGGCTTGTGAAAGTATTGAGCCCCCTTGGCATCTTTCCTATTTTGTTGCCTTACAACCTGGAATTAAAGTTGATTTTTTAGGGGGATTGTATCATTTGATTTAAACAACATGCCTACCACTTTGAAGATGCAAAATATTTTTTTATTGTGAAACAAACAAGAAATAAGACAAAAAAACAGAAAAGTCAATACTTTGTAGAGCCACCTTTTGCAGCAATTACAGCTACAAGTCTCTTGGGGTATGTCTCTATAAGCTTGGCACATCTAGCCACTGGGATTTTTGTCCATTCTTCAAGGCAAAACTGCTCCAGCTCCTTCAAGTTGGATGGGTTCCGCTGGTGTACAGCAATCTTTAAGTGATACCACAGATTCTCAATTGGATTGAGGTCTGGGCTTTGACTAGGGTGGTCCTCTGTAGCTCAGCTGGTAGAGCACGGCGCTTGTAACGCCAAGGTAGTGGGTTCGATCCCCGGGACCACCCATACACAAAAAAAATTATGCACGCATAACTGTAAGTCGCTTTGGATAAAAGCGTCTGCTAAATGGCATATTATATTATATTATTGTAGGGCATTCCAAGACATTTAAATGTTTCCCCTTAAACCACTCAAGTGTTGCTTTAGCAGTATGCTTAGGATCATTGTCCTGCTGGAAGATGAACCTCTGTCCCAGTCTCAAATCTCTGGAAGACTGAAACAGGTTTCCCTCAAGAATTTCCCTGTATTTAGCGCCATCCATCATTCCTTCAATTCTGACCAGTTTCCCAGTCCCTGCCATTGAAAAACATCCCCACAGCATGATACTACCACCACCATGCTTCACTGTGGGGATGGTGTTCTTGGGGTGATGAGAGGTGTTGGGTTTGCGCCAGACATAGCGTTTTCCTTGATGACCAAAAAGCTCAATTTTAGTCTCATCTGATCAGAGTACCTTCTTCCATATGTTTGGGGAGTCTCCCACATGTCTTTTGTCGAACACCAAACGTGTTTGCTTATTTTTTTCTTTAAGCATTGGCTTTTTTCTGGACACTCTTCCATAAAGCCTATCTCTGTGGAGTATACGGCTTAAAGTGGTCTATGGACAGATACTCCAATCTCCACTGTGGAGCTTTGCAGCTTCTTCAGGGTTATCTTTGGTCTCTTTGTTGCCTCTCTGATTAATGCCCTCCTTGCCTGGTCCATGAGTTTTGTTGGGCGGTCCTCTCTTGGCAGGTTTGCTATGGTGCCATATTCTTTAAATTTTTTAATAATGGATTTAATGGTGCTCCGTGGGATGTTAAAAGTTTTGGATATTTTTTTTATAACCCAACCCTGATCTGTACTTCTCCACAACTTTGTCCCTGACCTGTTTGGAGAGCTCCTTGGTCTTCATGGTGCCGCTTGCTTAGTGGTGCCCCTTGCTTAGTGGTGTTGCAGACTCTGGGGCCTTTCAGAACAGGTGTATATATACTGAGATCATGTGACACTTACATTGCACAACGGTGGACTTTATTTAACTAATTATGTGACTTCTGAAGGTAATTGGTTGCGCCAGATCTTATTTAGGGGCTTCATAGCAAAGGGGGTGAATACATATGCACGAACCACTTTTCCGTTATTTATTTTTTAGCATTTTTTGAAATAAGTGATTTGTTTAATTTCACTTCACCAATTTTGACTATTTTGACTATTTTGTCCATTACATGAAATCCACATAAAAATCCATTTTAAATTACAGGTTGTAATGCAACAAAATAGGAAAAAACACCAAGGGGGATGAATACTTTTGCAAGGCACTGTATATAAAACACACTGTATACATTGCAGTGTCCTCCCTTTCTTTTGGCTGGAATCCACCATGGAAAGAGCTTTGATTCTGACTGCTTGTTCTCTCTATTTGCTTTTCAAAGTGGACCAAACTGATGCCTGTGGCCATGCCCCTGCCATGGTTGGGCAAACCCCGGCCATGCAAGGCTACTTGGAGCTGACCTGGGTAGTGGTGCCAGCAGTGGCCTGTCTCACTGCTGCTGTCATAGTGGCAGCTCTAGTCGTCAAAGTCCTACTAACTGGTATGTATCCAACTCTCCCTAACTGAGTGAGTGATAACTACCCTTTTCACAGTCATCTAATGCAGAGCCGAGATGTACCGCACTGGCCTAGTTAGGCAGCATCAATCATAGTCGCTGGAACTGTGCTGAAAATAATACATTTGAGCTAGCACAGTACACTAATGTCCCAGGTTTAAATGGGGTGCTGACTGATTTTGTACACTGTCTGTCTGTATGTCTGTCTGTATGTCTGTCTGCCTGCCTGCCTGCCTGCCTGCCTGCCTGCCTGTCTGTCTGTCTGTCTGTCTGTCTGTCTGTCTGTCTGTCTGTCTGTCTGTCTGTCTGTCTGTCTGTCTGTCTGTCTGTCTGTCTGTCTACAGTTCACCAGAAGAGGCACAGAAAGGGACGGGATGGGGTCTGTACATTGAAACGACAAACAGGTGAGACCATTCTACCGTGCATCCACTAACCATAGCCCTAACTCTAGCTTTATGTCCACATCCCGGTTCAACCCACATGAAAAAATACTATAGTATACTATGGTATAAATACTATAGTATTCACTGTAGTGTTTTTTCAGACTTTACTGTAGTATTTACAGTTAACTATTGTATAAATACTATAGTAAAAAAATGGTATTATATACTATAGTAATGTAGTGTTTTTTCGGACTGTACTATACTATAGTATTTACTGTAGTGTTTTGTGGACTGCAGTATACTGTAGTATTTACTGTAGTGGGGAGAGCGCTTCAATCTGGCCCAATTCAATTTTTTTGCAAGGCATCTAATAATTTGGCCAGGTTAAAAAAAATCTGAATGCACATTTCACAATCTGACATAATGGTAACCTACCTTTTGAGCTTTACATTGGACATTTGCCATTTTTTCATGGTTCTAGGTCAATTTAGAAGCATTTTGAATGAAAAGCCATTTGAGCCAGCTCACTGAAAATAATTAGGAATGCCCATCACTACTAAAAGAGCATGTTTTCCACAACCTGTAGGTCGGTAGGACCGGGGTCTGAACAGATAGTTCAGAGCTTCTACTATATTCTATAACCTATAGGGAACACACTATATGGTCTATACATGGCATGTAGGTTTCTCACTCATGGGTGGCACAAATTGCGATATGGGCAGGGTATATGGAAATTAAATAGTATTTACTATATTATTCTTCAGTATACTACAACATTCTACTATATATTATAAGTACTACACATGATTGAGGGATACTACAGTGTGTAGTATAGTATTCTACAGTATACTACAGTTTACTATAGAATTTAATAGTATTTACTGTAGTATTCTATAGTAAACTAGTAATTTTTCATGTAGGAACCCTTACCTTAGCCTCAACCAAAACCATTACCCTAGCCCTAGCTTCATGTCCACATACTGGTTCAACCCTAACCCTAGCTATTACCCTAATCCTAACCCAAAATAGACTCATAAAGATTTATATACTGAGTATACATGACATATACTGACCAGGTGAATCCAGGTGAAAACTATGATCCCTTAATGATGTCACTTGTTAAATCCACTTCAATCAGTTTAGATTAAATGGAGGAGACTAATGAAGGATGTTTAAGTCTTGAGACAATTGAGACATGGATTGTGTATGTGTGCCATTCAGAGAATGGGCAAGACAAAAAATGTAAGTGCCTTTGAACAGGATATGGAAGTAGGTGCCCAGGTGCACCGGTTGTTCCGGGATTCATCCAATGGCATTGAGGAGTATACCACCTCAGTCACCTGCTTCATCAATAAGGGACTCGACGACGTCGTCCCCACAGTGACCGTATGTACATATCCGAACCAGAAGCCATGGATTACAGGCAACACCGAGCTAAAGGCTAGAGCTGCCGCTTTCAAGGAGCGGGACACTAATCCGGACACTTATAAGAAATCCCGGTATGCCCTCAGACGAACCATCAAACAGGCAAAGCGTCAATACAGGACTAAGATTGAATCCTACTACACCGGCTCTGACGCTCGTCGGATGTGTCAGGGTTTGCAAACTATTACGGACTACAAAGGGAAACCCAGCCGCGATCTGCCCAGAGACGAGAGCCTACCAGACAGGCTAAATGCCTTTTATGCTCGCTTCGAGGCAAGCAACACTGAAGCATGCATGAGAGCACCAGCTGTTCCAGACGACTGTGTGATCACGCTCTCCGTAGCCGATGTGAGCAAGACCTTTAAACAGGTCAACATTCACAAGGCCAGACGGATTACCAGGACATGTACTCAGAGCATGCGTGGACCAACTGGCAAGTGTCTTCACTGACATTTTCAACCGACATTTTCAACCTCTCCCTGACCGAGTCTGTAATACCTACATGTTTCAAGTAGACCACCATAGTCCCTGTGCCCAAGAAAGCAAAGGTAACCTGCCTAAATGACTACCGCACCGTAGCACTCACGTCGGTAGCCATGAAGTGCTTTGAAAGGCTGGTCATGGCTCACATCAACACCATCATCCCGGAAACCCTAGACCCACTCCAATTCACATACCGCCCTAACAGATCCACAGATGACGCAATCTCAATCGCACTCCACACTGCCCTTTCCCACCTGGACAAAAGGAACACCTATGTGAGAATGCTGTACATTGACTACAGCGCAGCGGTCAACACCATAGTGCCCACAAAGCTCATCACTATGCTAAGGACATTGGGACTAAACACCTCCCTCTGCAACTGGATCCTGGACTTCCTGATGGGCTGCCCCCCGGGTGGTAAGGTTAGGCAACAACACATCTGCCATGCTGATCCTCAACACTGGGGCATCTCAGGGGTGCGTGCTTAGTCCCCTCCTGCACTCCCTGTTCACCCACAACTGCGGGGCCAAGCACTACTCCAACACCATCATTAAGTTTGGTGATGACACAACAGTTGGAGGCCTGGTCACTGACAACAATGAGACAGTCTATCGGGAGGAGGTCAGAGACCTGGCAGTGTGGTGCCAGGACAACAACCTCTCCCTCAACGTGAGCAAGACAAAGGAACTGATTGTGGACTACAGGAAAAGGAGGGCCGAACATGCCCCCATTCACATCGACGGGGCTGTAGTGGAGCGGGTTGAGAGTTTCAAGTTCCTTGGTGTCCACATCACCAACAAACTATCATGGTCCAAACACACCAAGACAGTCGTGAAGAGGGCACGACAACGCCTTTTCCCCCTAAGGAGACTGAAAAGATTTGGCATGGGTCCCCAGATCCTCAAAAAGTTATACAGCTAAACCTTTGAGAGCATCCTGACCGGTTGCATCACCGCCTGGTATGGCAACTGCTCGGCATCCGACCGTAAGGCGTACAGAGGGTAGTGCATATGGCCAAGTACATCACTGGGGCCAAGCTTCCTGCCATCCAGGACCTGTATACTAGGCGGTTTCAGAGGAAGGCCCAAAAAATTGTCAAAGACTCCAGACACCCAAGTCATAGACCAGGGGTGTCAAACGTCCGGCCCGCGGGCCGGATCAGGCCCGCAAACGGGTTTAATCCGGCCCGCGAGATGATTTTGAAAAAATAAAATAAAATAAAATAAAATAAAATTAATAATAATTTTGTAAAGTATAAAAATGCGCTGCAATTTTTCAATAAAATAAACTGCTGTTCCAATTGCGTCCACTGGATGGCGCAATAGCAATTGTGTTAAGCAAGCAAACTGTTTATACCGGGGCAGAGCAAGTAGGTCAAGCACGTGCAGCCAATGAGCTACTTTGTTTTGCCCGCGATATTTATTACGGCTTCTACTTTTAACATTATGTGCTTTAGCACCCTCATTGCCCCAATATGTCTCTGTCAAAAAAGAGAAAAGTGGACGCAGAGTGCAGAGTGTTCCAAGAAAAATGGTCATCCTATTTATTCACGGAATTGAATGGGAAAGCTGTATGTTTGGTGTGTTCAGAGCATGTTGCAGTGCTGAAAGAATATAACCTTCGTCGCCACTATGTGAGTCTTCATGCCGACAAATATGACAACTTTCAAGGACAGCGGAGATGAGAGAAGGTGAATGAACTGTTGGCGGGTCTGAAGAAACAGCAGTCTGTGTTTACTCACAGCCGAGACATCAGTGACGCTGCAGTGAAAGCTAGCTACCTCATTGCTAATGAAATCGCAGTGGCTTCAAAACCATTTAGTGAGGGTGAATTTGTAAAAACATGCATGATGAAGGCAGCGGAGATTGTGTGCCCTGAAAAGCGGCAGGATTTTGCAAATATCAGCCTGACAAGAAACACAGTTGCAGACAGGATTTCCGATCTTTCAGTGGATTTGGACAGCCAGTTGAAGCAAAAAGTAAAGTCATTTATTGCGTTTTCGGTTGCAATTGATGAAAGCACGGACATTACAGATGTTGCACAACTGGCCATTTTCATCCGCGGAGTTGATGACACATTGACCGTCACCGAGGAGTTCGTGGAGTTGGTGCCGATGACAGATACAACGACAGCAGCTGATATTTTTACCGCACTCGTCGGCGCGCTGGACAGGGTCGGAGTGGACTGGTCCCGCGCTGTCAGCCTGGCTACAGATGGTGCGCCCTCAATGATCGGGAAAAAAGCAGGCGTTGTGACAAAGTTCAGAGAGAAAGTGCAATCTGCAAATGGAGGACGTGATTTTTTGACTTTTCACTGTATTTTGCACCAGGAGGCTTTGTGTTGCAAGTCATTAAAGATGGATAACGTCATGAAGGTGGTCATCCAAACTGTTAATTTCATCCGATCCAGAAGCCTGAATCACCGTCAGTTTGACAGCCTTCTCAGAGAGAAAGACCACATCTATGGCCTGCCATACCACACTGAGGTAAGATGGTTAAGCCGAGGTGCTGTGCTGAGGCGTTTCTTTGATTTACGAGAAGAAATTGAACAGTTCATGGAAGAAAAGGGCAAACCAGTGATAGAATTTCATTCCGCAGAATGGATGCAGGACCTTGCATTTATGGTGGATGTTACAGAGCACCTGAATAACTTGAACAAACAGCTGCAAGGGCGCAACAAAGTTGTCACGCAGTATTATGACAGCATACGTTCTTTCAAGTTGAAGCTGTCATTGTGGGAGACGCAACTTGCCGGTGGTGATGCAGCTCACTTCCCCTGTCTGAAAAATGTGTGCGCGACCCAACATGTGGCAGACATGAAGCGGTTCAAAGATAAAATAACGGGACTGTTACGGGAGTTTGAGCAACGCTTTCAGATTTATGTTTATATGTTTTTATATTGATGTGCTATTGTTTTTAATTGATTTTATTTTATTTGTATATTTAACCTATTCTTGACTCTGTGGTTCTTGCACTTGTTTGGGGAACAGGATTTCATTATTTTTATCTACATTTCTGCCTGAGAAATGACACCCTGATATAGTTCTGTGATCTGTGATATACTTCTGTGAATCACTGAGGCATTGTGTGTTTGTGTGTTCTTTTTCTTTAGAATTTTCAAATAAACTTGACGTGTTTTATGATTAATAGTGATGTTGTGCTTGTACTATTTTGGACACACTGTCCTCAGGCTCCAGCTTTATGTTGTATGTTGATCGTATTAAAACAAAGAAAACAATCTGAAGTTGTTGTTTTTAAGTTATATATACCATGATTTTTCTAGTCCGGCCCACTTGGGAATAGATTTTCCTCCATGTGGCCCCTGAGCTAAAATGAGTTTGACACCCCTGTCATAGACTGTTCTCTCTGCTACTGCATGGCAAGCGGTACCGGAGTGCCAAGTAAAGGCCTAAAAGGCTCCTTAACAGCTTCTACTCCCAAGCCATAAGACTGCTGAACAATTAATCAAATGGCCACCCAGACTATTTACATTGAGCCCCCCCCCCCCCCCTCCTTTGTTTTTACACTGCTGCTACTCGCTGTTTATTATCTATGCATAGTCACTTAACCCCTACCTACAAGCACAAATTACCTCGACTAACCTGTTCCCCCACACATTGACTCGATACCTGTACCCCCTCGTTATTGTTATTTTATAGTGTTACTTTTTATATTATTTTTTAATTTACTTTAATTTAGTAAATATTTTCACAACTCAATTTCTTGAACTGCATTGTTGGTTAAGGGCTTGTATGTAAGCATTTCACGGTAAGGTTGTATTCAGCGCATGTGGCAAATCAAATTTGATTTGATTTGAACTGCAACGCTGCTGGGTTTTTCACGCTCAACAGTTTCCAGTGTGTATCAACAATGGTCCACCACCCAAAGGACATCCAGCCAACTTGACACAACTGTGGGGAGCATTGGAGTCAACATGGGCCAGCATTCCTGTGGAACACTTTCGACACGTTGTAGAGTCCATGCCCCGACGAATTGAGGCTATTCTGAGGGCAAAAGTGTGGGGTTCAACTCAATATTAGGAAGGTGTTTCTAATGTTTGGTATACTCAGTGTATATCTCTATGGGTAATAATATTGCATGCTTTTCAGAACCTCATGCTGTTGCTGTTGACCGTGCCACCCCAGGACTCCAAGAACAGTCTACCTTCCATAAAGAGATACCCATGCCTGACACCCTCCAGTTTGAAAACTGTGAAAGGGATAACTTACTGCAGTTTTAATATTGTCAGCTATTTTAGATTTCAGCTAAGTCTTAGTATGTCTTAAATTATATTTTAGTCTTAGTCACATTTTAGTCATTTCATCTTTCATTAGCTTTAGTTATTATCAGTCGACGAAAACCCGGAACAATTTTTATCTAGTTTTAGTCTGTGCATTTTTCACCATTTAAATAATTAATATTTACCTCTTAATTGCATCATGCGCACATTTAGCTCTCAAAATCCCTTCTCTGTAGGATATTCAGCGGTTAGCTTCGACCACGGCTGGCTCCAATCCTGGCGCTCTGTTTTAACGTTTAGAAACGTCAATAATCATTGGATGTGAAATGGTTTTCATATCTGAGAGAATGAATCTTTTAAAAAAAACAGATATACTTACAGTGGCTTGCGAAAGTATTCACCCCCCTTGGCATTTTTCCTATTTGTTGCCTTACAACCTGGAATTAAAATGGATTTTAGGGGGTTTGTATAATTTGATTTACACAACATGCCTACCACTTTGAATATGCAAAATATTTTTCTTGTGAAACAAACAAGAAATCAGACAAAAAAACAGAAATATTGAGCGTGCATAACTATTCACCCCCCCAAAGTCAATACTTTGTAGAGCCACCTTTTGCAGCAATTACAGCTGCAAGTCTCTTGGGGTATGTCTCTATAAGCTTGGCACATCTAGCCACTGGGATTTTTGCCCATTCTTCAAGGCAAAAGTGCTCCAGCTCCTTCATGTTGGATGGGTTCCGCTGGTGTACAGCAATCTTTAAATCATACCACAGATTCTCAATTGGATTGAGGTCTAGGCTTTGACTAAGCCATTCTAAGACATTTAAATGTTTCCCCTTTAACCATTCGAGTGTTGCTTTAGCAGTATGCTTAGGGGTCATTGTCTTGCTGGAAGGTGAACCTCTGTCCCAGTCTCAAATCTCTGGAAGACTGCAACAGGTTTCCCTCAAGAATTTCCCTGTATTTAGCGCCATCCATCATTCCTTCAATTCTGAAGTTTCCCAGTCACTGCTGATGAAAAACAACCCCACAGCATGATGCTGCCACCACCATGGTGTTTTCGGGGTGATGAGAGGTGTTGGGTTTGCGCCAGACATTTTCCTTGATGGCCGAAAAGCTAAATTTTAGTCTCATCTGAACAGAGTACCTTCTTCCATATGTTTGGGGAGTCTCCCACATGCCTTTTGGCGAACACCAAATGTGTTTGCTTATTTTTTTCTTTAAGCATGGCTTTCTTCTGGCCACTCCGTAAAGCCCAGCTCTGTGGAGTGTACGGCTTAAAGTGGTCCTATGGACAGATAATCCAATCTCCGCTGTGGAGCTTTGCAGCTCTTTCAGGGTTATCTTTGGTTTATTTGTTGCCGCTCTGATTAATGCCCTCCTTGCCTGGTCCGTGAGTTTTGGTGGTTGGCCCTCTCTTGGCAGGTTTGTTGTGGTGCCATATTCTTTTAAAAAAATTATAATGGATTTAATGTTGCTCCGTGGGCTGTTCAAAGTTTCTGATATTTTTTTATAACCCAGCCCTGATCTGTACTTCTACACAACCTGTTTGGAGAGCTCCTTGGTCTTCATGGTGCCGCTTGCTTGGTGGCACCCCTTGCTTAGTTGTGTTGCAAACTCTGGGGCCTTTCAGAACAGGTGTATATATACTGAGATCATGTGACAGATCATGTGACACTTAGATTGCACACAGTGGACTTTATTTAACTAATTATGTGACTTCTGAAGGATCTTATTTAGGGGCTTCATAGCAAAGTGGGTTAATACATATGCACGCACCACTTTTATGTTATTCATTTTTTAGAATTTTCATTTCACTTCACCAATTTTGACTATTTTGTGTATGTCCATTAAATGAAATCCAAATAAAAATCAATTTAAATTACAGGTTGTAATGCAACAAAATAGGAAAAACACCAAGGGGGATGAATAATTTTGCAAGGCACTGTACTTAACCAGATTTGCACAGATCCATAATTTGTGTGTGTCTCCAGCCGACAAACTACACTTTCGCTACACTTCCTCCCCAGTTATGCTTACACACAAGTGTTCGGAGCATGCTAGATAGCTAATTAGCACAGGTGGTTGCCTCTGTCTTCCGTCTGTCTTCTGTAAACAACTGCTGTAACATGGAGATATGGCCGTGTGGGAGCACTAATCCTAACCCTATAAAAGGTGTGTAGTAATTTAACCTTTTGTTTTTTGAAAATTATTCCTCACTGATATGAAAGATTACTTATGTTTCCAAAACCGTATCACAAACTATGCGTGTTAACGTTCAGATTGAGCGTCGAGGCTCTTAACAAAAGTACCCCAGGAAAAAGATACTATCATCAATAGGCGCTAAAGGTAGTTGGCGTTTTTGAATGGGCTAGTGCACACTCAGATAGCCTTGTCCAACTAGGCCTACTATCGCCTCATAGGCTATACCTTAGCTGGCAACATTGTAACCAATGCCAGCCATAATTAAGGATATAAAGCCTACAGGTTAAACAATTTAGCTCAGATTTTCTCCCCATCATAACCGTCAGAGGTGGGTAAATAACAGTGCTTTCCTTGAAAAGAGGAGAATATGAGCTTTCCAAAAATGCCTGAAGTATTACTTTTCTCCTAATATTCAGCAAAAAGCATTTGTTTTTCCAATTTGAAAAAGCAAATGCAACTTGCTATTGCCAACACAGATTAATAAAAGCATGGCACATTAGAGCTTCTGATGTGATCAGAGCAAAAATGGCGGAAATGAAAGCAAAGATTATCAAATACATTATTGTTTCTAATTGAGGTTAATTTGTTACAATTATCCTGTCTGCGCATCAGTTCTAAAGAGAGACCGAGATGAGTGATTGAAGTGACCGAGAGCTGTGTTTGTGGGAGAGCCAGATCAATGCAATCAGCCCATGCAACAGAAAGACGTTATTGGCCAATGAGAGGATTGCATTATATATTCTGCACAGGGATACATGCTTATAATTGGACAAAACAGATTAAAAGGAGTTTCATGTGAAATTGAATGTCCATTTGTCTCACGTGGAATTCTCGCCTCGTTACATTTTCGTCAACTAAAATGAAAAGTAATTGGTAGTAGTTATAGTTTTTTTCAGAGCGTTTAATCTCAGAGCATTTAATCTCTTTCAGAGCATTTCATCAGGAAAAGTAGGTTATTGACCACTGCGCCACTCGGGAGGCCTCAATCTACCATTTTCATTTAGAATTTCTGTTTACCATTTCCAGTTTTCAATGAAACATTTTCGATTTTCATTTTAACATCGCAATTTCATTGTGGCATTAATCATGTGCACTTCTATGAAAATATACAGTTGAAGTCGAAAGTTTACACACATCTTAGCCAAATACATTTAAACTCAGTTTTTCACAAATCCTGACATTTAATCCTAGCAAAAATTCCCTGTCTTAGGTCAGTTAGGATCACCACTTTATTTTAAGAATTTGAAATGTCAGAATAATAGTAGAGAGAATGATTTATTTCAGCTTTTATTTCTTTCATCACGTTCCCAGTGGGTCAGAAGTTTACATACACTCAATTAGTATTTGGTAGCATTGCCTTTAAATTGTTTAACTTGGGTAAAATCTTTTGGGTAGCCTTCCACAAGCTTCCCACAATAAGTTGGGTGAATTTTGGCCCATTCCTCCTGACAGAGCTGGTGTAACTGAGTCAGGTTTGTAGGCCTTCTTGATCGCACACGCTTTTTCAGTTCTGCCCACAAATGTTCTATAGGACTGAAGACAGGGCTTTGTGATGGCCACTCCAACACCTAGACTTTGTTGTCCTTAAGCCATTTTGCATCAACTTTGGAAGTATGCTTGGGGTCATTGTCCATTTGGAAGACCCATTTGCGACCAAGCTTTAACTTCCTGACTGATGTCTTGAGATGTTGCTTCAATATATCCACATAATTTTCCTTCCTCATGATGGCATCTATTTTGTGAAGTGCACCAGCCCCTCATGCAGCAAAGCACCCCCACAGTATGATGCTGCCACCCTCGTGCTTCACGGTTGGGATGGCGTTCTTCGGCTTGTAAGTAGCCCCTTTTTCCTCCAAACATAACGATGGTCATTATGTCCAAACAGTTATATTTTTGTTTCATCAGACCAGAGGACATTTCTCCAAAAAGTACAATCTTTGTCCCCATGTGCAGTTGCAAACTTTAGTCTGTCTTTTTTATGGCGGTTTTGGAGCAGTGGCTTCTTCCTTGCTGATTGGCCTATCAGGTTATGTCGATATAGGACACGTTTTACTGTGGATATAGATACTTTTGTACCTGTTTCCTCCAGCATCTTCACAAGGTCCTTTGCTGTTGTTCTGGGATTGATTTGCACTTTCGCACCCAAGTACATTCATCTCTAGGAGACAGAACGCGTCTCCTTCCTGAGCGGTATGACGGCTGCGTGGTCCCATGGTGTTTACACTTGCGTACTATTGTTCGTACAGATGAACGTGGTACCTTCAGCCGTTTGGAAATTGCTCCCAAGGATGAACCAGACTTGTGGGGGTCTACAATTTTTTTTCTGAGGTCTTGGCTGATTTCTTTTGATTTTCTCATGATGAGTTTGAAGTTTGAAGGTAGGCCTTGAAATACATCCACAGGTAGACCTCCAATTGACTCAAATTATGTCAATTAGCCTATCAGAAGCTTCTAAACCCATGACATCATTTTCTGGAATTTTCCAAGCAGTTTAAAGGCACAGTCAACTTAGTGTATGTAAACTTCTGACCCACTGGAATTGTGATACAGTGAATTATGAGTGAAATAATCTGTCTGTAAACAATTGTTGGAAATATTACTTGTGTCATGCACAAAGTAGATGTCCTAACAGACTTGCCAAAATTATAGTTTGTGAACAAGACATTTGTGGAGTGGTTAAAAAATGAGTTTTAATGACTCCAACCTACGTGTATGTAAACTTCCGACTTCAACTGTAAATGCATTTATCATTTTCACATATCAATAGAGCATTTAAGCATTGCATTTTCGAA